AGGTTAATTTAAAATGTACCCAAACTTTTCAAATTGTGCTCCTATTAACGTCATTCTCTTGCCAGAATATATATTTTTTAATACGAGAGAATACAAAAAGAAAATCTCGCAAGATATATTATCTTGCCATTTTATGATATAAAAGAGTGGATTACTTGTAGTGCTCAGAGTAACAAGATTGTGAGAAAAGTATGAAATTGACAGCTGTCGATAATTTTCCATTGCAGAGCAAACGTGTTCTCTCCTCACTAAATAAATAAAAGAAAAAGTCAAGGTGTAGCCCTAACCATTACACGCCACGGCAGTGTCTCCCATTTAAACTGAGAAAACAAAAATCTGAATATTAATTCGATTAAGAAATAACAAAATCTAACATCTGATCTGCCAGTGTGTGTACAAGGCGGAGCAGCAACCCGCTGGGCACTTTGTTCAAAAAGAACGGCAACATTATCGCGTCATTTTACATTCATCCGTATCACTATTAAAAGGATTACAAGCTGGCAGTGAGGTCTGGTCGCCTCCCACCAGTGAACTAACACAACCTCAGCTTTCTCTCTTGCTGCTGCTGCTGCTGCCACCACCAAAGACAAAGATCCCCCGTAGAGCCTGAACAGACTGTAGGGGCAAGTGCTGTTTGCGAGCACCTATGAAGGCCGGCACGGCACACGAGGTGGGTGGCCAGCACCACGCCCGGCCGCCTTTGTCTCCCCAGTTGTGATGTTTTTACACACCGCACCAGGTACTCATTTGAGACCGAGTCGACTTAAAGGAGGCCCAGGACGGGTTCAGATAATCGTCACCGGTTATGGTCGTGAGCGAGAATTGAACTCGGGTCGCCGGGTTGGTAGCGCAGCGCGCTAACCGCTACACCACCGCTCCCCGCACCACAGCACCGCCACACTCACCGCACAACACTCGGTGTTTTTTGTTCGTGAATCTGTCGACGCTGTGAAACGGAGAAGGGCGGCGCAAACTGCACAGAAGCGCCCCCCCCCCCGCACCCCCCTTCCCCCCAGTTTACCAGTTTGTATTTGTACTTTGCATTAATACATGGCGATTAAACAACCATCACCGACGTCCTGAATACTAATGGCTGCATTAATCCTCCGCCGCATTGCCTTTCCTTTATTCCGCTCGCCCTTTCTTTTTTGTGTCGCGCCAAACCCCCCCCCCCCCACCCCCCCCTAGGGCTTAGCTGTCCGCGATAGCGCCGCGCTCTGCCCGTGCCTTACTGAAAAATCTGCGAGCGTTTGTGCGCACGCGTGTGTGTATGCGCGCGTGCGTATGTGTGCATGTGGGGAGCGGTGGTGCCGTTGGTTAGCGCACTGCGCTGCGAACCCGGCGACCTGAGTTCGGTTCCCGTTCATGACCATAACCGGTGACGATTATCTGAACCGGTCCCGGGCCTCCCCTAGGTCGACTCAGCCTTAAATGAGTACCCGGTGCGGTGTGTGAACATCGCCACAAGGGAGAAAAAGGCGGCCGGGTGTGATGCTGGCCAGCCACTTGTCTGTTATGGCTACATGGGGATCTTTGTCTTTGTGTGTGGATGGGGAGTGGTGGTTGGCACACTGTGCTACGTACTTGGCCAGCCAAGTTTTCACCTTCAACATCAATGTTGAAAACCAGAAACGGTTTCGAGTCTCCCCACGGCAGACTCATCCTTAAATGAGCAGCTGGGGAGACAAAGGTGGCCGGGCGTAGCACTGGCCACCCACCCTTTCATGCCCAGTGCAGGCCTTAAGAAGTGCTCGCGAAAAGCACTTGCCCCAACTGTGAGTATGATGGCCATACGGGGGGGGGGGGGGGGATCTTTGTCTGTGTGCCTGTGTGTGTGTTGCTGTGGCACAATTGAGTGTATTAGGCTGCAACTGCTGGCCACCTGGGTTTGATTTCACGCTGTGGGTGACATTTATAGTAAAACTAAAAAACTTCGTAAGGCCCACTCAGCTACATGTAGCTCTTTTTCAGGAGCGACCTGGCCACAAACGATAACTTTAAAAAGTAAATTATCATGTAGATATGTATAGAAGCCAAATACTCCGAATGCATGTCTCTAAATGGAGGGAAAAAACCGGAGGACCCGGAGAACAATCCACACGACCACGGGGAGAAAACGCAAACAACAAACACACAGCAGACGTCAGAATCAGGATCGAACCCACGATCTCCTGCATACCAGGCGAGGGAGCTAACACATCACCACCGCGGCACCAAACTCTGTCTTAAATGTCTCCTGGTGCGGCAGTGGGTAGACACAGGCGCCTGGGGAGGGTGCCGCAAAACCATCTTCTTTGTGTTTTGTTCCGGCCTTACCAGGTACATCCTATCAGAAATAGATCAGGCAGTTCACGAGGCTGAACGTGGAATCTGTTTGCGAAACGTTTACAGACATGGGTGCGTATTCCCGTGTGTGTGTGAGAGATTGTATATATTATTATTTTTACACAAATGCATCCTGCTCACTTACAACACAGCTCGGCAAAGACACGCACAAATTCAAGTCGACACAAGTACAAAGGTCCCCTGTGTAGCCACACAGATTGTAAGGACAAGTGCCGGGACTACCTATGAAGGTCGGTGTGGTGCACGAGTGGGTAGCGTGACCAGCACCACGCCTGGACGGCTTTGTCTCCCCAGTGCTGATGTTTACATACCACACCAGGTACTCATTTAGGGCTGAGTAAAGCTAGAGGTGGGCCCTGGACAGATTTAGATTACGCCGCTGGAAATCGAATCCAGGTCACCTGGGTTCGTAGAGCGGTGTGCTAACCACTGCGCCACCACTCCTCCCACAAGCCCACACACACACATGCAGGCAGGCACTGACACACCCACACACACGAAATAAATCAAGGATAATCTTTTTTTCATTCTTCCTGGTGCGTGTGTCCCATCTGCCAAGCTATTTTCCCCATCAAAGTCGCTCAATTAAGCCCCTAATTGATGAGCATGTTTAACAATAGGGAGCCGGTGGGTATGGGTTTTTTTTTTGGTTAAACTATTCAGCGTGGTGGATAATGAAGGGTGTGGATAGACCAGGCTTGGGTTAAAGGGACTCTCGGTTTGTCTTAAAGGCAGCTGGTTAACGTGGACTATAAAACGTAATTACAAAATGCCGTTGTTTAAAATCTCGGCTTGAAAGCCTAAAAGTTTGGGATGCAAGTGGATCAGAGAGATAGGTTTCAATGGAATGGCAATGAACGTCTGATTACGAACTACGAGATCGCTCAGTGTGGCTCTGTGTGTGCATCTGTGTGCACGTCTGTTTCAACATTTTCATGACCGTGCGCTTAGCAGAGAAGCTTAAGAGGCAGTGCTCAGCCCTGTTGCTTGCACGTGCTGGACATTCCACATTACTGTCGTGAGAGAATCCCCCCTGCCTTTCCCCCTATATAGATAACCGCTGTTGATTTACATGAACTGTGCAATCGTCATATAGATCCTGGAATGTCTAGTGGGCTGCACTGATCCACAAAGAGATGAACCCACGGATATTTCATTGTCAGGAACTCTCAACAATAAATTAGTATTACATCATGACAATGACGATGGCAAAGATAATTACGAGAATATTTGCAGTAACAACACTACGTGACGATGATTATGATGAAGAGAATGAGGATGATGTTGCTAATGACAATTGTCAACATGACAGCATTAATTGTAATTGTTCCGGTTACTAAGATTGGGATGATAATCACGAGTGACAACGATAATGACGACGACAATGACCACGATGCCAGCCAACAAGAAGTTCAAGTGTATTTAGTTTAACAGCTCTGAGAACAAAAGAGACCAGGGATGAGTCTCATTAGCAAAGGGACCTACGGGGCAACCAAAATTACCAAAAAAAGAGAAACCAAAGGAAATAAAAAGTACGGCAACGACGCAAACAGAAAACTGGACGCATCACAATATTTAAATTTAAAACACCGCACAAACACCAAAATCAAAGGCAAATAATAATCTCCCCGCGCTGCGTGTCGCCAATAGTCAAGGTTCGCGGCAGCCCACGCCGTCTGCAACGCCAACGCCACCCACCGCGCATTCGTGCCTTCGACTCCACAGGCACTTTTAAGAGACAATTTAACCCGTGAGCGTTACGATAACGTACGTGTACGTCAACAAAACGAAACCGGAAGATGAACGAATATAAAACAAGTTATCATTACCGCGGCTCCCACAGGGCCGTGCGGGCGGGCGTGTGGCACAGTTTGGCGCCAGCTGTCGATCGTAGGGTTGCGATCGACAGTTCTCCGCTGTGAGTACGACGTCTTTAAAAATAACGTTGCTAAGTCTCTCTAAATAAAATAAAACTTGCGCGTTCCGAGACTCAGCGGTGAAGGGGACACCCACAGCCTTGCAACTTGCAGACGTCTCAGAACGGGAAAAGGGTTAAAGGCCTAATTTCTCTTTCTTAAAAGGCCACACACCTTTTCGCCTGGCTTTCGAGTGATACTGAGCTTGGCTCCGTGCCTAAAGAGTCGTCACCATCGTTTACGGCCGTGGTATATCGCGCGTGTTACAAACCCATGTCATTGGAACCGCCGTCACTGATGGTGACGACGATGATGATGACTAAAAGCGTTGAGGACTGGCGGTCCATATGTATGTTGAACTTTTTTTCGCACCGTACGTAGCCAACCGTGCTCATTGGAGGTGCGGGGGAAGTACAACAAACTAACAACACGAAAAGCAGTTCTCAACAAATGAATTTTCTAACTAGATTTTAAAAAGAGAATAGCTCCAATGGCTTCTAATATCAGAAGGAAGAGCATTCCAGATGGCTGCGGAAGTGCATCTAAAGAGCGCGATGCGGTGACCGTCTTTGTTCGACGGCTCGCCAAAAACCGCTGCTGCTGCTGCTGCTGCTGCGAGGATGACCGGAGTTCGCGTGACAAGATGAGCAAGGTGCCGTGGCTCATTGACGGCGAGCACTTTTGTGTGCAATGAGCGCGACCTTGCACGTAATGAGTGCGACCTCAACAGTGACTCACGGACAGGGTGACGAGGAGGTCCTCAACGCGGCTGTCGGCACGGAGCTGTTCACGGAACATGCGCACCGTGCCGTGCTTCAGGTAATAGTACGAGGAGATCTTGCCCGGGGAGAGCGGCTGGATGCTCCGGTTGTCCTGAAGGAAACATGCATCAACACTCATTCACATTATGAATCATTAAGACGTTATTGTTTAAAAGTTAAAATACATAATGGAGATTATACGTATTTTGCGTAATTTTACAAAACCGCGACACCTTGCTTATATCAGATGGTGTTCTGATGGGTGTGGCGAGTAGCATGCCCTGCCACCACCTTCATCTCCCCAGTGCGAACTTTTCACACTAAACCGGGTACTCGTTTAAGGCTAAGTCGAAACGTCGTACTCAGATTGTAAATGTTGTGGCTTGGCTCTCCAACACACTGGTGTGCTGTACTAGTGACGAATTGGAAAGTTCTGTTTACGTGACAACCCTTACTAGTTGGCTGTGTCGGGTGGTGGCGGGTTTTAACGACACATTATATATTTACGCGATCTAACCCAAAAAAAACCCTATATTATGGATGATATTGGTCACGAAAGCCTACCACGTGTTAAACTGGCCTGGGACAAGTTCAGACAACTTTTCACCACTCAAGTTAACAGTGGCCAGGAATTTAAATCACGTCTCTGGGTTCACAGTGGTGCCGGGACTAAATAGGACTCCGTGACTCCGTGACAACCGACGGGACGAGTTAAGACCCACACAGGCGATAGCCAGAAATGTTCTGGCCATCGACACATTTATAGGCACGTGATCCAACCCGCAAAAAAAAACTTTTACCAAGGTGCCGCTCCCTTCACGGCGCTCATCTCAAGCAGCTCGCCGTTGCACGGCTACAGCCCTCGACCTCGACGTGAGGCTCCGCCGACTGCGCGAGTATTGCAGAAGGGCGTCTCTTGGTCCCGCGATGCCAAAGCACCAAAGCATGCGCAATCGAAGGCACTGCTCAGGAATGGCTGTGACCCAGGGGAGGTCGCGCGCTCGCAGACGCAGAACGCGCCGCTCGCCAAAAACTTTCTCGCACGCAAATGTGCGCGACCGCGTGCGACTGCGTGCGACTGCGTGCGTGCACGACATGCGGCCGGTGTCGTAAACCACCTCTTCGTAATTAATATTGATGCAAACACTTTGGGTGGCGCCCGGTACATTACGGGCGTGAGCGCGGATAATTGCCTAAAGCCAATTACAAACGAATTACTGCTCTGTCGGCGTGAGAGAGAAAAAAAAAATTATGCACCCGCGGCCCCCCGGTCTCGGAAGAGAGAGTAATTAAGGCATCGCGCTGCGTGGCGAAGCGTAAACAATTTAGCGCTCTGCATAGCTCCCCTGCCGGCCAGCCAAGCCCGGGCATAATGAATTGACCATAATCGCATTACTGCCGACGCGTGGCAGTAAACAGCGACATATAAAGGCGGCAATTAGTAGTGCTATGGGGGGCACCAGGTGTCTCCACAAGTGGATGGCGGTGGCATTGAATTTAACGGGGCTTGCATACGGATTTTAGAAAACTACCCATGCTAATGCCTGAGTGTGTGTTGGAGTGCCGGCCTTCATAGGCGCTTCTCGCAAACAGCACTTGCTCCAACAGTCTGTTGAGGGTATTCGGGTGATATTTTTATTTGCTATTGTTTTGAGTACCTGGTGTGGTGGGTAATCATCGACCACCAGAGAGACAAAGGCAGCCGGAGGAGGTGCTGGCTACCCCCCCCCCCCTACATCCGTGTGCACTTGACCTAAAAGTCTGTTGAGGCTATGCAGGGGGATCTTTGTGTTTGTGTGGAGGGTAGGGATGATGCATCGGTTAGGCGCAAAGGGCTATCACGAGTCGTCAAATCAAAGTTCCAGATCCATCCACGGGTAACGCGAACGGCAAGTGGGACCAGAATCTGTCGCGAGTAATGTTCGTCAAATAATAATTGTAATTCCCAGCGTGAGAACTTTAGCCAACAACAAAAACCCGTATTCCCTTCCCCGCTGCCAATGTTGACGACTGCGTCACGATGTCGAGTGTGTCACTTTACCGGCTGCTAATGGATATCGCTGACGGAGAGGAGGCGGAGACTTGACTCGGATAACAATTTCCACGAATGTGAAAAGCCAGTGCTGTACTCGTAATTGAACCCAGTTTTACAAGGGATGGTGGTGGTGCAGAGTGAAAACCACTACGGGAGCACTCGACACTCTAGACACAGCGTCTAAACAAGCGCATGCACGCAAGCACGCACGCACTCGCGCGCGCGCACGGACAGCGAGACATTTTTTTCACACTTTCACGCGAATCGTGTAGTGCAAGTAAAACAACATGACGATGCTGATAATTTTGATGCTGGTGACAAATGTTCGTGATCATTCTCATACTTGCCGATGATGGCCATCACGTGACAATCGCTCTAGTGATGCTCTTGCTGCTGAGGTGATAATCCTGCAGGCTGCTGAAGCTTATTCCAAAGATGCAAATGACCGTGATGACGACAATGATGACGACAAAGTTGGTGAGACAGTGACAACACTGCTGCAAATTCCAACGATTAAGACAACAACAACAATACTGATGATAAAGATGTCGATGACAAATACAGTAGAACCCCTCTTAACGACCACCCATGTTCACGACAGGCCTCCATAGAGTGCAATGTGTTCGCTTACCGACCATTCCCCTGTTTGGGGGAAAAAGGGAAACTTTCGATGCTATCGGAACGAATTAAGCCTTAACGTGTATTTCCTACACTCGCTTAATGGCCAAATCACTTAACGACCGGTTTCGTGGAACCAATTACCGTCGTTAAGAGGGGTTCTACTGTATGATGATGGCGATGCCGATGGCGAACACAACTCACCTCCCCGACCTCTATACATCCCGAGAACTCCAAGTCAAAGAGGGCACTTCCCACCAGCCCCGACAGGAAGTTGTTGATGGCCTGATGGTCGATGTTGTCAAGTTTGTAGTAGCTGCGGATGGAAAAGAGAAGCGCCACCAATGTTGACTTAGTCATCAATGTTTAGATTTTAGTCACGCTCCGAGTCTCATCGGTCCGTGGCGTACGAGTCGAGTCTGAATGTCCTACCCATCTTGCCCGCACCTCTGATGAGCACGGTTGGCTACGTGCTGTGCGATAGAAGTTCATACATACAGCCTATGGGAGTCATAACCCTGAGACTCGTCGACTAAAGCAGTCAAACATTCAGTCAAACACTCTTATTTATTAAACGTTCACGCGAGGCCACGCAATCCCCACACCGAATACATGCTGGAAAATAAAGGTGCAGCCCTGCAAGTGCTTGCTCTCACCACTGCTGGGCATAAGGGCCTCAGCGAGAGGAAGCTTTGGCCCACTCTTCGACGCTGACCAGACGCATTGAAAGAGGTGGGAGCGCCCACACTTTTATCCCACACACACACGTGACATGCCAATCGACCAACGTCAGTTTCGTCCAATAACACTGCTCGGTGGACAACAGAGGCGGAGAGGGAATCGAACGAGCGACCTCCGGATTGCAAGCCCGGTGCGCTGACCGTTACACCGCCACTGCGGCAGCGGCAAAAGTTGTAGCCGTAGCATCCGCAGCAGCCGCACCAGCAGTATCCTCTGTAGTAGCAATAGCAGCGGCAATAGTGGCAATAGCAGCGGCGGTAGCAGCGGCAACAGCAGAAGAAGAAGTAGTTGCAGCAGCAGCCTCTATTTGCATCGTAACCGCACTAACATGACGGCAGTGTGAATACGTAAATCTCGTGTAAAGCATCTGGTTTAATAAGCCACGGTTAACTTCCCTTCCTGTGCATAATCTTCACCACAGCTGCAATCAGTATTAGAATTACAATGTATTCCTATTGCTTTTTAAGCAGTTCTTAACATCTGCGGGTCCTATAATGTCTCTAGCAGCAGGGACCCATTAGCCTATAACCCCACCGTGATTTATGGTTTACCGCATGTCCAGAGGAAATAGTCCACAATGATATACAACTTGCACTCTTTTACGGAGCCAGAGTTTTATGTAAAAAGCGAGCATTGCGGTGTGACTCTGCTTAAATGAGTATTGATTGGAAATAATCAAAAATCCTACAGAGATATCCACCCATCGATCTGCTTACATACCGAACAACCAACCAACCATCCACCTACCAATCCCAGCCATGCACCTATCCACCAACTAACCCACCCATCCAACAACACGCCTACCTACATACCAACCCACTTACATGCTAACCTACCTATGAACATACCAACAAACCTATGCAAGCATCCACACACCTTTAAACTCAACCATTCTCATCCAACCACTAATCCACTGACACACAATGTATCTACACAGCCGTTCACCCACACATACACCGACTTATCAATCTACCTATACACATGCAATCAATCCACCTACCTACCTACCCACCTCCTTGCTATATTCCATCACGGTTTTTTTTCCAAGTTTGCACGCATTGCCAATCATTGCCTTTGAAACGCGCGCAGTTAAAAATAACGTTCGCCTCTGCCGCGTTTAGCAAACAGCGGGGGGAAGCAGCAGCAGCGGCGGTAGCCGCAGCCGTTACGATCGATGGGATCGTTGCCGAGTGACCGCTAACCTCGCCGCACACGCTGGACACGGCGCTGGCCTGGTGATTTATTCCGCTCTGTCAGGATTAGCTTGCGGCATCGCTCACCTTCCTCGCTCTCTCTCTCTCTCCCACACTCTCAGGAGGGTGTAAAAAAAACAAACCCCCTCCCGCCCGCCCCACCACCGATAGCCGCTCCTCCCAGTCACCACCACCGCTAGCACGAGCGAGCGAGCGAGCGAGTGAGCGTGCGATGATGTATTTACATTGGCACCTCCGAGGTCTCCCGTGTACGTCGGGCTGCCTTGCGTAATTACGTGTTTGCTCACGGAAATCACCGACGGTCTTAAGGAGATCCGCGGAATTAGCCCGTGGAATCGTGTGTGCCGTGGCGGTGTGTAACTACCGCTCAAGCGCCGCTTCTTAAAGAGGCGAACTCCCTCTCCCCCCCCCCCCCCTGCAAAAACAAGGGCCGTGCCGTTTTATTGCGCGATGATCAGCGCAGTATCGACTCGCGCGGCAGGCACAGGCGGCCCTTGAAATCTGGGTCAATTACTAAAATTATCCTAGGACTTACATCGCCCTCAATGCACCCCCCCCCCGCCCCACGGTTGTTGCCACAGGTATTCATTTAAGGCTTAGCTGACCTAGGGGAGGCCCAGAATCTCGAAGACAAAGATCTTCCCTTGTCACTTTAAACAAGCTGTTGGGGAAAATGCTGTTATGGGCAGAATGGCACACGAGGGGGCAGACGGCAAGTATAACGGCTAACCGCTTTTGTCTACCCAGTGGCGATGTTTACTGCAGACCGCACAAGATACTCACTTGAGGCTGAGCAGACCTAGGGGAGGCCCAGGACCGGTTAAGATAATCACCACTGGTGTTGGTCGCGAGTGGGAACTGCACTCGGGTTGCTGGGTTCATAGCGCAGTGCGCTGACTGCTACATTACCGCTCCCCACATACAACAACAACAACAACAACCGCCATTCGCCACTAAGTGGCGGTGACGTCACCACGATGCTTGTGCCAGGCCAAGTGCACCTTGAGGCCACGTGAAGTGTCGAAAGCCCGCTGGCAGGAGGTCACGGGGCAGACCCAGGTGCCACTGGTCGACTGACCGAGATGACCGAGATGACTGGCTGATGCACCACCTGTGCCCCCTACTGTGCCAACTTGCTGTGCTTTAGCCACCCGGCGCTCCGCTCGTTGTTGTGAGCGTCGCTCCTCCGCCCTCCGTTGTTGTTGGAGGGCGACTGCCTCCAACTGCCCAGTAGCGTCCTTCACGAGCCTCCTCCACTGAGGCCGATCTTGACACCGCTGGTACCAGTCATCGGCAAGTCCACTCAGCTCCACGTCCTCCTGTACCACATCACTCCATCTCTTCTCCAGCCCGTGCCGCGCCCGTCTAGCCCCCTCGATCCGGCCGAACAAAAGCTGTTTAGGCATGCGGTGGCTGGGCATGCGGGCTACATGACCCAGCCAACGCAGCCTTGCCTGCCGGAGGAGCTCACTGATGGGACTTTGCCCAGATCTTTCAAGGATTTGTGAGCTCCTCACACAATCCAGCCTGGTTAAACCCAGGATGGATCGTAGGCAGGCCAGCCTAAATGTTTCCAACCGGCGAAGATGCTCCACCAGGGGGGTCCACGTCTCGCAAGCGTAGAGAAGGGAGGGAATGACCGTGGCCGAGAAGACCTGAAGCTTCGTGCGGAGCGACAGACCAGGTAGCTTCCACACAGCGTTACGCAACCGATGAAAAGATATTGCCGCTCGACTGATTCGGAGTGAGACCTCTGCTGATAGACTGGAGCCGGTCATAAGCACACTGCCCAGGTATGGGAAACTCTCCATTCTCTCCACAACTGCCCCATCACCAATTGGGAGTTGTGGGGGTGGAGTGTCCGATGGTACAAAATACCCAGGCAGGTGCTTGGTTTTGGTGGGGCTGATGGTAAGGCCCCACCTCTTAGTGGCACACTCCAGTCTCAGCAGCAGCGCCTCCAACTCCTCTTCTGAATGAGCAGCTATTACCAAATCATCGGCATACATAACGTGGTTGACCAATAGGGAGCCATCCCTTGATCGCACCCGGGCGTCGATCAGCCTCCCATTATATCTGTACCAAACGGAAATTCCCCCGGTACAGCTATTGAAGGCTTCACGAACTACGCGGTCAAAATAGATGTTAAATAATGTGGGAGCCAGAGGACATCCCTGTCGCACCCCAAGGTGTACAGGGAAAGGCTCCGACTCCCGGCCACGTAGTTTTACCCGGGCCCGCTCACCATCATGAAGGTCCTTAATGATCGTGAGCAGAGGGTCAGGGACTCCGAAAGCACGAAGAACAACCCAGAGTCCAGTCCTACTGATGGTATCATAGGCCTTGACCAGGTCAATAAAGCAGAGATGTAGGTCTTTTTGGAATTCCCTACACCTCTGCTGTAGCAGACGGACAGAAAATATGGCATCTGTGCAGGACCGCCCTTTCCTGAAACCGCATTGGGGCTCCGCAAGCCCCTCCTCAGCGTGCCTAGCAAGGCGATGTTGAATAATCCTTGCCAGGACCTTACCCGGCACACTGAGGAGTGAGATGCCCCTGTAGTTGTTACAGTCTGTGCGGTCCCCCACAAACACACATTCACACACACTCACTCATACTTGCAATCACACACAGTCACTTTCACACACACACATTAATACACACTCAATGGTATTAACTCACAGACATACACTCCGCACGCACGCACTGATTGAGACACGCTGAGATGCACCTGGGGTTCATGATGAGCCGACGGAAGAAATAGGTCCAGGTGATGTAGTCCATGGCATCTTGCTTGGAGGTGATGGTACCAGAGGTGATCTCAGCATTGAGATGGTCAGCGAGTACCTCCAACAAACTAGGACACACGTACGGAGTCGGGCATGGCCACACACCTTCCAACCCTGTGCAGCCTTGCAAAGTGGACGTGATCTCCAGCGAAACGTCGGTACCCATTAAAACGTCGTGGCATTCCTCTCCAACAACAACAACAATAACAACAACAGCACCGACTGGTGGCACTGCCGAGGCAGTGAGAAGCGTGGCCGCATTCGATTCACGTCACACTTTTATGAATTGTCTGCGTCGGGATTGAGGAGGGTTTACGATGCACACGTCAATTACGCGAAGACCTCACCCAAAAGAAACCAAACACGAAACGTACTATTTTGCCGTGAAAGCGTACGAATAAATTGCGTTCGTATTGCTGTTTTTTAACGAGCGGTGCGGAAAGTGTGCGGGCTGATTATATTATTGATGATTATCGTCTTGTTGAGCAAAGCCTCCGTCCCAAACAGCAATACCACTCTCTACTCGTTCCTATTTAAACGCAAATTATCATGGCCCACTGTTACAGACACACGGACGGACCAACAGAGCTCATGATGAACAATTTCCACTTGGGTTGGAAAGCGTTTAAAAAGGGATACAGGTTCATGGGAGGAGATAAGGAGGTGAGTCTCACCTGCACCTTATTAGAAAGTGTGAGATTATGACCCATTGATTTCTTGTATGCATGTACGTATGTATGTTGAATCCAACCGTACGATCCCAGGCGGCAACACAACTTTACACCACGAGGCCTTTGGCCAAAAATTCGATCGAAAAATGCGATCGAGCTTTACGAGAGTTTATCGTGCGCCCCACCTCGCGCTACGGACCGGCAGGCAGACGGACGGACAGAGCCGACGTGCGTTGGAACGCGTTGACGAGGGACGTGGGGATTCTTTTCGAGAGACAGGTGAGAGAAGGGCGTCTCACCTCGACTCTACCGGGAAGGGCTCGTAGAGGAACTTCTTGTAGAAGTCCTTCTTGAGGTCGTGCACGAAGATCACCGCCTTGCCTTGATCGTCGAACTGAGGGCGCCCGGCACGGCCCATCATCTGCAGGACGTCTGCGGCGTGGGCACAACGGGAGGCGAGATATTTGCTGGTCTTTTATCATCAACATCGATGTTGATTTTTTGTGTATTCTTATGTTCACGTCATTTATGCCTTGACCAAGTGCGCCTTAGAGAGAATTGAGAACGGTACGTATGAACGCAATGGCGGAGATGGGGTGAATAGATGAGAGAGGAGGTAGTGGGCGCATCTGTTTCATGCGTGTATTAGGTCAAAGCGAAACTGATGAGAGCAAATCTTGATGAATGGATTGGATAGATGGGGAATGAGTGCTAGCGATGGAGAGAGATTGTGAAGAGGGAGCGGGAGCGGTAGTGGTTATAGAGGCAAGATTAAGGCGTCGTGGGGTAAGCAAGAGAAAAAAGGAGTTTTGAGGGAGGAACGGAAACTGGTGAGCGAAGATGACTGCTTGATGTAATGCTTGTTGATGTAACTTGCTGACCCGCCCCAACTGGACATCTGTGCAAAAGAGCTTCATAGCTCATCGGATTCCTCCTCTGGTCAAAATAAAGATTTTTTTATTCTGAATCATCATTAATAATGTATTGCCATCATCAGCTCATCGTCATCGTTATTGTTATGAGCCAATCACTGTCTCCATCATCATCATCACCGTGCTCTTCATCTTTGTCAACACATCATATCCCCGATTATCATCGTGAGGTCATTATTGACATTGTCATCATCATCATCATCAGCAGTGTCATTCTCAGCACATAACTATCATCATTATCCTAGTCGTCTACATCGCCGTCAAGTAACTATCATGATGATCATCTTTCTCAGCACACTATCATGTACATCATCATCGCCATCAGGTCATTGTAAGCATCATCATTTATGTCATCATCTAATCATTGTCAAATGTGCACATGATTATCTTCTTTCTAATTACATCATTTATGCCATTATCTGCACAAGCACATCACCATCAGCAGCAGCACCATCACCTTTGTTATGGGTTAATTACAGAGACCATAGGCCAAATAAAGATTAGATACGCTGTTAGAGTACTTGCAATGTTCTCGAGGTTTGTGCTCTTTGCAGCAAGGGCTATTACATCTGCATATACGAACATGCGAGATTATGTAATTGGCAGGTCACTTCATGTGTGTGTGTAGTGTAGCGGTTAGTGCGCTGCACGATGAACCTGGCGACCCGGGTTCGATTCCCACTTATGGCCAATACCAGTGACGATTATCTGAACCGGTCCTGAGCCTCCCCTAGGTCGACTCAGCCTCAAATGAGTACCTGGTGCGATGTGTAAACATCGCTACTGGGGAGACAAAGGCGGCCGGGCGTGGTGTTGGCCACCCACCCCCTTGTGTGCCGTGCCGGCCTTCATAGGTGCTCGCTAACAGAACTTGCCCCTACAGTCTGTTAATCTATACGGGGAATCTTTGTTAAACAGCCCTCCTACGAAAACCTGCCATGTGTAAGTTCGCACCTGTGATAGGGAAGTCCACGTATCTCCGCGTTTTTCCGTCGAAGTACTCGGTGCCTTTGATGATGACCAGGTGCGCTGGGAAGTTCACCCCCCAGGCCAGCGTGCTGGTGGCAATCAGCACCTGCAAGAGGCGACGTATCTTCAATAACGACTCGGTCAAGATCGCAGCCAACGTGATGGGGGGGGTCCAGATACAGGGTGAGAGCCGCAGAGCCACATTCGGGTACAAACACCAGCTTCACGTACACACACACACACACAGATTAAAATATACGTATCCGAATTCAACACAAATACTAGATTTGAACACACATCATGTGTAAACACAAAGGGCAGACTGGAACATTGAGAAGACATTCATTGGTTAAGATAAGATTCACACGCAAATATGAGATTAACACACACACATACTTGCTGACCCCCTCGTTCCGGACATCTGGGAAAAAGAGCTTAATGGCTCATTGGATTCCTCCTCCGGTAAATAAAGATGCTGATTCTGATACACAGACGAGATTCAAACACATGGCTCATGATGAAACACGAGACAAGACTGAGTTTCATGCGCATCACATTTGAGACACAATGATTAGGTCAATACACAAAGACCAGATTGAAACACGAAGATCAGGCTCGGGCACAAACACCACATTCAGGCACAGAGACCCGATTTAGACGCCAACACCAGGCTAAGACACAAATGTTAGATTAAGACGCAAACATCAGCTTCCGACACAAGCACCGGATAGAAGCGCGGAGGCTGGGCTTCGGTCGCCTGTTGCCTCCGCGTGTGCGTGCGTACATGTGGACGTGTGTGCGTGCGTGAACGTGTGTAAGCGTGCGTGTGTGTGCGTGTGAGCGCGTGTACGTGTGTGTGCGCTGTGAGCCGTGAGTTTGACCTGGATCCTGGTGTTGACAAAGAGCTCCTCCACGGTGCGGCGGTCGCGCTCGTGCAGGCCCGCGTGGTGCATGCCGATGCCGAACGCCAGACACAGCTTCAGGTTCGAGTCCTTCACCGTCGAGATGATGTGCTCCATCTGCGCACAGAGACAAAGGATACCCCCCCCCCCCATGTGGCCTTAACGGACTGTCAGGGCAAGTGCTGTCAAACGAGCACCTAGAGAAGGCAGGCACGCAGCACGAGAGGGTGGGTGGGGGTGGCCAGCACCACGCTCGACCGCCTTTGTCTCCCCAGTGGCGATATTTACACATCGCACCAGGTACTCACATTCCTGTCAACCCCTTATCAGTGCCTACCTTACGACAGACTAATTCAGACCTTATCGGTCACCCCGTGCTTTTATAAATTTCAACGTTCATCCTACAGAGTCCCATCACAAGGGACAAACACAAAGATAAATATTTGTTGTTGCCCGTATTGAAACGGCTGTACACCGTATGGACCTGAAAACTCAATTTCCCTGTACAAGAACGCGGGGTAAGCCGTATGGGTTGACAGCTGTGCCCTCATTTTAGGCCGAGACGGCCTAGGGGCGGGCGCAGGATGGGTTCTGATAATCGTCACGGGTGTTGGTGGCCACGAGCGGGAATCAAACTCGGGTCGCCGGGTTCGTAACGCAGCGTGCTAACCGTTGCACCGTCGCTCCCCTCCATGCACACACAAAGACGCACACCAACACTCACACTCACGGCTGGCCGATTCAGTGGTGAGCACAAGGGGGCCATCTGTCTCATTGGGCAAGGCACGAGGATCAACACTGAGAGTTCTTGGGATGAATAGAGGTTCCTTGGACTGAGCAACGGGTGTTCAAATAAAGGTACAACGCCGACGTATTCCCGCGCTGCGCAGGACGCTGTTGTTCGGCACGACGTCCGACGTTTCGCCCCACGTGCCAAGGGCACGCGCAGCAGAACGTGGGAGGTCATCGTGGGAGGAAAGCTCGCGGAGAGAGCTTCCTCGGGACAATCGCGAAAACCTACGCAGTTGTAAATAAAGATACAAACGACAAAAAAATACAAAGAGCTCTTATCTTATAGATTCGAATCTAGGTTGTGTAACCACCAGGCTTGTTCAACAAGAGTTTAATGTTGCAATCGTACAACACAACACAGTTTTTCTTTTGTATATTGCTCACCATGCACAGTATCCCAGGGTAATTTACAATAAAAAGAAAATCTCAAAAAATCAACTGGCGAACCGATCCAGCACAAAAATGACAACACGTGACAAGTGCCCACTGGTCAGCAAAACGATCTGCTTAAAAAAAACAACTGTATTGTGTAGCCGGTAAAACATTTATGGAAACGTAAAGATGTTAAAATGTTATGTTAAAGGTGTGACGGTATGATGATGCCTCGTCTGATTTGGAACAGAGCTCCAGTGGCAGCAGGACTGCTCCTCTCGTGTGTACGTACGCGTGTTGATCTTCCTTCGCAACGTACGTAGCCGACCGCGCTAATAGGAGGTGCGGGTGGAGGACAACAAAACTAAACACAAAAGGCAAATTCTAAAATAATGAGTTTGTCAATCAAGATGATGATTTTAAAGTGCACAGCTCCGAGTGGCTTCCTAATATCGGAAGAGCGTTCCAGACGGCCGCAGAAGCGCATCTGAAAGCGCCGTGCTATGTGGTAACCGTCTTTGGAGGTCGCTGGAGATTCTAAAATAATGAGTTTGTCAATCAAGATGATGATTTAAAAGTGCACAGCTCCGAGTGGCTTCCTAATATCGGAAGAGCGTTCCAGACGGCCGCAGAAGCACATCTGAAAGCGCCGTGCTATGCGGTAACCGTCTTTGGAGGTCGCTGGAGAATTTATTCCCGGCTGAAGATCTCACCAGCTGTTAAACACGCCTCTCTCTACGTCTCTCTGGTTCTCGATCTGTCTCTTTATCTTTTCCCCTGCGGTAACTTCTCCTCTACATGCACGGCGTTACGCGATCCATTGCTTAAGAGCGCCTTCATGAATTTCAACCATCATTAGCACTGTTATTTCTCCACGTTGTGAATGCGTCGCTGCAGTCGGATTGCCACCTGTCCTGGTTTTCCCGGGATCGTCCTTTGTGTTTTTCGAGGAGGCAGATGTTCTGGGAAATCCGTAAGTCCTTCCGGAACATTCCTTAAAATAATTCAGGTTTTTGTCAGTTCCATAAGAGTTTGTCCCTTCTTCCAGTACTGACACATATTCCTATTCCCACGGTACGTCCCAGTGTTTTGCATCTCAGGTAGCAAACCTCTACCCTGCAAGTGACATCATGGGAATGTGCTTGCGATTTAAACTTTTTGTTATCTCATTAAGGAAGCGTTTGTGTCCAACAGTACCGGGCGACACGACCTTAGGTGTGTATCTATGAGATAAGATCTGTTCCACCTGATGGGTTTATGCCTTCCGTTAAAAGGGGACAACCAATGTTGCCGTTTTCAGACTGAACATCGCTTCCGCAAGCAGAGCCTTGCCAGAAGCAACACGAGCGCAATCCAGGGAAGAAAAATCACGCACGCGCATGGATCATGTAACACTTTGCAACACGCGGTTGATTGTATTTGGGGGTATTTAATTTGCAAAGTATTTAAAGCCGACAAGTAGCCCTTGGGGTAAAAAAATGCATGTTCAGAAATAACAATCCCTTCACACTCCGTTTTGGTTGTTAACAAACTTTTTGGTAAATTTATCAATTTCACAGCCATTTTCCAAAGCAGGTGAATGAAGAATGACCTTTACCCCAAAAACCGTAGCCCGTTGCGTACTTCTTCTTGTTACCGACAAACGCGTTTAGTTTTAGTTTTCATTGTTGTTGTTAATTGTGCTTGTGCACCACTGCCAACGCAGCAGCATGACCAAACAATGTGCATAATTTTGTTGAATTTAATTGTGGTAAATAACAGCATAACTTTCTACCGGGGGGGAGGGGGCTGGTCCACACTGGATCATTCTTAGGAGGGTTCCAGTCCCCCCCCACTTCCACCCCTCCGTGTTACGGGCGTACAGACGGACATAAAAGACTCGTGCAGAACACTCTTTTAGACCGTAGTGGGGAAGTGCTGACAAAAAACTTGCACCGAATAAAGCAAGCGTTCAAGGGGGGTGAAAAAACGGAGGGAATTGATAGAGTACTGAAGATAAACTCCCCAAACCGGCTCAAATGCACAACTGCATTCACCCCGCCCGGAACGAATTAAACTTAACAGCTAAATCATAAAGCTGTCGTCACCAATGACCGTTCTAAAAAAAACACCCCGCTCATCATATCCGAGTTGTCACTTTTAATTTGCCATTTTCCCATCGTCGGCTACAGAAGAAACTTCAGCATATTACTGTTACGAATGACATATCACGGAAAATGCGCATTCATCAACAGGAGGACGTGACCTTAGAAAGTGGTTACGCAAAGTCTACTTCCTCCCCTGCTCGCTGTGAGAATTCTGGGTAGAAACGTCGACTTTTCATGACATAACCGCCGATATAAAAGCTACAAACGGAAAATAATTGCAAGCAAAAGAAAAGGAAAGGACAAAAAAAATCGCAATACTTTGGGAGCGCTGGCCCGGCTTGTGATGTTAATTACGTTGCCGCCCACCCACCCACCCAAATTAAAACGTTAAGTCTGCGAGGAAAGCGGGCATGACAAACAGACTGCCTTGGCTGGTTTGTTTTCAAGTGAGAGAGGTGGGGGGGGGCGGGTGAGGGCGGTCTTGGCTTGGAGCTTGGCGGTGGAAAAAGATATGTAAACAAGCTTTTCCCAGGATAACTGGGAAACGAGCGAATGTGTGAGGGGAAGGGGTGGGTGGCGGAGGTGGTTGGGAGGGGGGCGCTCCCGTTCCCGGGTCTCGCTAATCAGCTACACAAACAGACACGCACACTCGCACACACAGCAGAGGTCGCGGACAGTTCAGGGGCCAGAGGTCGAAAAGGATCACCTCGGCCTGGAATATACTTCTCAAGGGACTCCATATATGTTACGTGCGTTTCGCTCGGCAAATGCAAGTTTTGCGTGACGATTGCAGCTGTGTTTTTTTTGTGAGGGTTTCAGAGTGGTGCGGGGGGGGGAAGGGAAACAAAAAAATGCGTCTATTTTTTTTTACGTCGAGTTCTGCGGAAAAACAAGGGCAGTTTGCGAGTTTGTGTACGGGGTACGCGCGCGCGTGGTGAGGGTGTGCCCCCTACTATACCAACAGCAAGTTGGCATAGTAGGGGGCACAGGTGGTGCATCGGCCAGTCATCTCAGTCAGTCAACCCATGGCACCTGGGTCTGTCCCGTGACCTCCTGCCAGCGGGCATTCGACACTTTAAAAGTCATTAAAGTGCACATAGCCTGGTACAAGCGCGGTGGTGACGTCACCGCCACTTAGTGGCGAATGGCGGTTGTTGTTTTTGTTGTGTCAGCGCGCCTGGCGAGCGGTAGTGTAGCGGTGAGTGGCACTGCACGACCGAACCGGCAAACCCGAGTTGGATTCCCGCTCGCGGCCAACATCAGTGCCGCGTATCTAAACCGGTCATACGTCTTCCCCCGGGTTGACTCGGCCTTACATCAACGCATTGTGTCCCGTGTGTAAGACAAAGGGCAGCCGAGCGTGATGCTGTCCACACAACCTGCTCGGGCCTTCATAGGCGCTCGCTAACAGCACTTGCCACAACAATCTGTGCGGCTATACGGGGTGCCTGTGATCTCTGTGTGTGGGTGAATGGTGGGTGCAGTGGCAAACTGCACTGCAATCTCCAAAAACACAGGTTTGTTTCCCGGGCCAAGCTTGATAGCAGCAGCAGCAGTGGTATCTAAACCTGTCCTTGTCCCTCAACTAGGTCAGCTCAGATGTAAATAAGAAGTCTGTGCATTGCATGAACTACCGGCACTACATCAGAGGCGAGGCTGGCCACGCAAACTCGTTGTGCACAAAGCCGGCCTAAATAGGTGCTCGCTAACAACATCTACCCCTACGGTGTTGTAAGGTTAAAGCGGCACCCAATGTTTGTGCATCCCCAACATTAAAGTCATTCCCATTGACAGCCATGGGCCAGTGCAGCAGAGCCCCCATTAGGTGGTTGGCTTCCCACAGTTAGTACCCAGTTCATTCATGTTTGAGGGATGACGACGCTGAGGATGAGCTGGGTTCAACCCGAGACCAGGATTTGAACAAATAACTTTCCCGACTGAGTGTTAGGCATAGCTCAAGCCAGTCAAGGGCAGATACAAGTTTATGTGGAGGCTCCAATGTGATTCGTTAAGGCAAGGTTGGTGTTTTCGTCGGCAGTACAAGCTGACATGGAACAGGCCAGGGAAATATGATTCAACGTTACATCACGTATCATCTACTCGAGTGTCTTTTAGCAGTTTTGGAGGTAGAATTGGTGGATCACACAGAGATGAATATGCGAGTTGGTAAGCCCCAACCTTATGATAAAAACAATATGTACCACCTACGCCATCTGCTGGACACTAATGCTGCATGCTCTACGTGGGGGGGGGACATCCTTTCTAACCACCGTTCAAACAAGCTGTCACAAATTGTTCACGATCTTGTCAACAGCACGTGCACTTGAAGCCCTTTCGTAAAACCACTGCTGGATGAGGGCCCACTTCCTCCCCATGCCGCTTGGGTCGTGGGGGTTACTTGACCATACTTCACCATATTCTTAGGTTTTTTCAGTTCAGTCACGATTCCACCTGAAGACGGAAGCTTGTGTTGCCTCCGAAACGTCGTGATTTGTATTTTATTTTTATTTTACTTTTATTAATTTTTTACCTACGTGACTTTACCGAAAAAACCTAAGAATATGAATCCTTGCAGTCACGAAAGCTTCAAATCTAGAATTCATACTTCACCACTCTGTGCTGTCGTGAAGGCGGTGAGCACAGACGACGGGAGCTTAGTTAAGTACAACAATTAATCGTTCTGCACTGCGCGCTACTGACGACGCAGTCCCGCAGCAGCCTATAGCACCTGTGTTATGCACGGTGGTCGCCCATCCAATCACCATCCAGGCTCACAACCTGCTTAGCTTCCGAGCGCTTACGAGATCGGGCACCTTCCGGGCGATCTGATCACAGGCATCTGTCAATAAAAATGGAATCGCTTTGCTCAAAGTCAACTCTTGTTGTCCTGCCATAGGAATGAGAAATGTAGAGTGTTGGCCTCGATTGGGGATGAGTGTTGCTCCACACTCCTTTGAGCAGGCACACTTTCTGAATTGAATCGAGAGGTTTGATGATTATAGTAAGCAGCACAAATCTACTCAGTGGCATGTTTACGCATATTACTTTTCGATTTGCAGTCTTGATATGGGATCGGTGTCCAATTTTGCCTTAATTTCCAGTACAACAAGCACAGTGTTTCATTGTTAAAGACATTCGTAAAATAAAAACACAAGTTAATGCTGGACTATCACTGAGCGTTATCGTTCTTATTTGGGAAAAAAAGATAATTGTTTTTATTTTTTACAAGTAATAAAATTGGATTGGAATGATTGCAGCAGCTCATCATCCATCTGGGGTCAATAAAAAAGACACGATCATCCGCCTGGGGTTGTATTATGGACATACTCGTCCCTGTCACGGGAACGTCAAATTTCCATCACCGGATAAAAAGCTTCCATTCTAGAGGGGCGCACCACCTCTTGATTGACCGTGGAGACACGCCGACACTTGTCGATTGTGACTGCGTTTTGAGAATTTAGCCGAATCCAGAATCCAGTTGGTAAGAAAGCATGTCGGTCCACTCCAGGGGTTTTGCTAACCGCTTGGACCAGGTGCTGCTGGACTGCGGACACTTGCAAGAGTTTGTCGCACGAACAATGCGCGCGATGACCTGAGCGGGCTCCCGCTCGCTCGGAACGCGCACGCACACAGAGACCACCACCGCTCCCACCACAACACCCCCCCCCACACACCCACACCTACACACCCACGTGCACGTGCGTGACGCATACACAACACAAAAGCTATCTTCCTTCCTCTACATTGTCCTTGCAGGTGCTGTTAGCGAGCGTCTATTAAGGCCGGCACGGCACGACACGCCCGGCCACCTTTGTCTTCCCCGTGCTGACATTCAGGGCCAATGAAACACGTGTTTATTTTAGGCTGACAGCATGTAAAAGAGACCCTTTGCGATGATATTTATTGATACGAGAAACGCTTACCGAGTGTTAAGACTTTTTCAGGATGGCGATGCATTGGGGATAGCTGGCCATTTCTATTTGAAATTATTATTTTTTACGTGGATTTTTTAAATATATTATTAGATAAAAACCACACAGCAATCACCGAGATTCCATAAACAAAAACACATCCGTGTAGTCAGAAACCCACTTGCTGCACTGCCATCTCCCGGCCACCTTGCTGATAATGAGGAGTTTCACAGCACATGGTTTCTTTGACGCATGACACCAGAGCACCCATTGGGCACTGCCAAACCAAACGTGCTGCAGCGGTACGAATAAAAACGTTGAGGCCAGAGAGAGTCCCTTAAACCCCCACCCCCTACTCTTTGGTTCTTTCGGTAAAGTCACGTAGATGAAAAAATTATAAATAAATAAATTAAATCACGACGTTTCGATTGCAACACAAGCAATCATCATCATCAGGTGTGACAACCACAGCAAGAAAATTTTGACTTCAGTAAAAATTTCAGCAAAAATGTTCTTGCTGTGGTTGTCACACCTGATGATGATTGCTTGTGTTGCAATCGAAACGTCGAGATTAAATGTATTTATTTATATTTTTTCACGTACGTGACTTTACCAAAAGAACCAAAGAGTATGGATCCTTGCAGTAATGAAAACTTCAAATCTAGAATGAACCCCCACCCCCTCTTGTAGCCTGTCCACCCAGCAGTGTGACTGGGTACACCACGGTTAGTTGACCAGCAGCAGGAGGGCCTACCGCTAGCAGAGGAAGTGAGTAAAGCAATTTCAGGGCTGCACCTTTAGGCTGTATGGTGATTGGTGGAGCTGTTCGTCTTGGTCTTTGTGTGCGGGGCAGATAGCAGCGGTGGCACAGTGGTTAGTGCATTGTGCTACGAACCTGGCGACCGGGGTTTGATTCCTGTTCACAACCAGTAACAGCGGTTGTGGGCTTCCCCAAGGACGACTGAGACTTAAATAGGTACCTTGTATGGGGTGTAAAACATCAGCAATGGGGGAGACAAAGGCAGATGGATATGGTGTTGGCCACCAACCCCCTTGTATGCTGTGCCAACCTCCAATGGTGCTCGCGAATAGCACCTGCCCCAACAGTCTGTTGAGGCTATACGTGGGACCTTTGTCTTTTTGTGTGCATGGAGGGTGATGGTTGGCACACCGCGCTCTGTACCCGAGCCAGCTGAGTTCGATTCCCACTCACCGTCAACATCAAGGCCGAGAACCAGAACCGCTTTACACGAGCAGGCTCTACGGGGAGGGGGCGGGCGGGGGACGTCTCCGTTTGGTAGATCGGAAACCGCAGTGCTCGGAGAAAACCCACGTGATGCACGGGGCGGGGGGCGACTCGTGGGGTTCACCTCGGTCTCGTCCGTGTGAAGCCACTGCTTGGGATTGTCCTCGCCGGCCAGGAAAGCGATGAGGTCGAGGGCGGTGAGACGCGTCTGCCTCCGAGACGACACGAAGATGAGCACGGGCTTGGCCGGGGAGTGCGTGCGGATCGCTGCGGGGACGGCAGGTGGACGCGGAGACGAGCGATCGACGCGAGCATCAGCCTCGTGTTATCCACGTGGGCATCAGCCTCGTGTTATCCACGTGGGCATCAGCATCGTGTTATCCACGTGGGCATCAGCATCGTGTTATCCACGTGGGCATCAGCCTCGTGTTATCCACGTGGGCATCAGCATCGTGTTATCCACGTGGGCATCAGCATCGTGTTAACCACGTGGGCATCAGCATCGTGTTAACCACGTGGGCAGGAGCCTCGTGTTATCCACGTGGGCAGGAGCCTCGTGTTATCCACGTGGGCATCAGCCTCGTGTTATCCACGTGGGCATCAGCCTCGTGTTATCCACGTGGGCATCAGCATCGTGTTATCCACGTGGGCATCAGCATCGTGTTAACCACGTGGGCAGGAGCCTCGTGTTATCCACGTGGGCATCAGCATCGTGTTATCCACGTGGGCAGCAGCATCGTGTTATCCACGTGGGCATCAGCCTCGTGTTATCCACGTGGGCATCAGCATCGTGTTATCCACGTGGGCATCAGCCTCGTGTTATCCACGTGGGCAGCAGCATCGTGTTATCCACGTGGGCATCAGCCTCGTGTTATCCACGTGGGCATCAGCATCGTGTTATCCACGTGGGCATCAGCCTCGTGTTATCCACGTGGGCAGCAGCCTCGTGTTATCCACGTGGGCAGCAGCATCGTGTTATCCACGTGGGCATCAGCCTCGTGTTATCCACGTGGGCAGCAGAATCGTGTTATCCACGTGGGCATCAGCCTCGTGTTATCCACGTGGGCAGCAGAATCGTGTTATCCACGTAGACAGCAGCCTCGTGTTAACCACAAGGGCAGCAGCTTCGTCCTCCACGCATGTAGTTCTGCATGACTGGTGGACATTCCACGTCCTTTCTGGCGAAAGCCAATTTGTCTTAAAGAAAATCCACTTGGGCTCCCACATTGTGGTCCCAAATTTTATCAACCCATCGGAATGCATTGGTTGAGATCTGACGAGGGTTCGACAAACGCTGCCAATGTTACCAACTGATGAATTCACAGACTACACACACGCGGATTAATCCACACACAGCACCACGACGCATTCAGACACCGCCACGCAGCAGAAAGCTACGAGGGGGTAAGACGGGAGTAGCGCTCGCACGCAAATTTCAACAAATCTTCAACAAGCCTCTACAATCCATGTGCGAAGAATAATTGGCGCTAAATAGAGCGCGTTCCATTCAATCAGCAGCTCCATCAACAGACAGCAGTGGCAGCCATATCCACATTATGACCCCATTAATCATAACGTCCGTGCGCATTTGTGCGGGGACCCGGTGACTGGTAAATGCTACTGACCCAATGCAGCGTGACATTAAGTGGGCGGAAAAGCCACACACACAATACACAACAAGAGAAGAAAAATGCTGCCTCCCGATAATACACAGTAGCTGCAAATTGTGTTTTGAACACAAAAGGGATGTTGTTTTTTGGGTGTGGGCGTATGTTATTTATTTAGCGAAAAAGTTTCATCCGGGGCTGAGTGAAATGAGCACACGAAGGCTCAGGAAGTTTAAGACGGTGACAGGGCGAGAGTTGGTGCGCTTAGCTGCAAGTCCCAGGGATGTGGCACCATGGTGGGTGAGATGTTAACCACCTCGCCTGGTTTACAGGAGGATCGTGGGTTTGATCCCGACCCTAAAGCCTGCTGTATATTTGAAGTTAGCATTTTCTCCCTGTGGTCGTGTGGATTATTCTCTGGGTCCTCCAGTTTTTCCCTCCACTTAAACATGCGTTTATAATATTTGGTTCCCATAAATGTCCACATGATAAGTGACTTTGTTGCGCTATCATTTGTGGCAAAGCCGCTTCTCAAAGAGAGATGCCTTACCTGGTAAAGTAAAAATAGCTTCGTTTTTTTTTTTGCGAGCAGTCATTATTTTCACAATGATGATTCAATCTCTAAAGAGACTTTCAACGCACGTACCGCCAACCGCAAGCAAGCTGCCGCGAGCTCGTGAGCTCCACCGGCTGTGGAAATGAATCGTTGAGTTGGCGGTGTCTATAAATCCACACATTTTACGGCTGTAATCTTGCCGACGTGCAAGTCGGCTGTTTGGCGAGCGATTCTGTGCCCAAGAAATATCGTGTCTGTCAATAACCCAAGGCTAACCCGACAGATTTTCACAAAAACTACAAAAAAACTCCTAAATTAATCACTGAAATGTACCACAAAGATTACCAATAGCTATGTGCAAATATGAACAGTTGTGCCGCAAGACGGAGATAGGAATTTTTTTTTTAAAGCACTATTTTTTCTACATAAAATAAATGTATGCCGTACATCACTTATTAGTGTGTGTGTGTGCATGCTAGTGCGTTCACGTCCATTTAAGCTCACAAATAATATCTCATTTGAGGCCGAGTCGACCTAGGGGAGGCCCAGGATAGGTTCATAATTGCCCACTGATGTTGGCCGTGAGCAGGAGTTTTAACTTGGGTCACCGGGTTCGTAGCGCAGCATGCTAACTGCTGCACTACCGCTCTCCACATATATACACAGGCACACTCACGTACACACTCGTACCCATGAAACCTCACGCACATATCTACATATACATACAAATTCACACACACATATAGATGCACACACAGAGATATCCACACACATATTGAGTAAGCCAGTGGTAAAAGTGAGGGTAAAAGTGAGTGGTTCGGGGGTTTGAGCGAATTATTGGGCGAGTATTAGATTGAGTGAGTGAGAGATTGAGAGAGAATGCGGTTGAGCGAGCGGTCGAGTGAGTGAAATGATGTGCGCGGGGGCAGCACCTTGGAAGGTCGGCTTGTTCATGGTTGCCATGCGAGGGCAGTAGTGCTGCCCTGGGAAGCCGTGAATGTGAGCCTCAAGGGGCACGGGACGCACAGACGGACGGAAGTTGAAGAGGCCAACCTGTGTGGACCACGCACGCACACGGTGAGTAACACGAGCACACACACACACACGAGCACACACACACACAAGCACACACACACACGAGCACACACACACACGAGCACGCACACACACACACGAGCACACACACACACGAGCACACACACCACACGAGCACGCACCCACACACACGAGCACGCACACGGTGAGCACACGGAGCAACACACACCGGGAGCACACACACACGACGCACGGCACACACCGCACACACACACGAGCACACACACATACACGAGCCACCCAACACACACGAGCACACACACACATGAGCACGCACACGGTGAGCAACACGAGCACACACTACGAGCACACACACACGAGCCACGCACCACACCGAGCCCACACACCCCGAGCCGCACAACACATGGTGAGCAACACGAGCACACACACACACACACGAGCACACACACACACACGAGAACACACACACACACACGAGCACGCACACACGAGCACGCACACACACGCACACACACACACACACGAGCACGCACAAACATGAGCACACACACACACGAGCACGCACACACACACACGAGCACGCACACACACACGAGCACACACACACACGAGCACGCACACACACACACGCACACACACACGCACACACACACACGAGCACGCACGCACATGGTGAGTAGCACGAGCACGCACACACACGTGTGCATACACACGAGCATGCACACACACGAGGACGCACATGTACAAATACAACAGGTGACTTGAATCACCTCTTTGATGGCAAGCCAATCGGCGAGGTCCCTGGCATTGGCGAGCGCCGTGGACAGCCCGACCACGCGCACCGGCTTCTCCGTGTGCGACGAGATGAAGTTTGTGCGAGACACGATCACCTCCAGCACCGGACCTCGATCATCGCCTGCGATGGCACGGAGACCGTTTACTTGCTCACTCGACGGCTCGCAGCTCGCTCACTCGCCCATTCAGTTGTTCGCTCGCTCGCTCGGTCGATCACTCACGCACCCAATTACTCACCAGCTCACAGCTTGCAACGCTCGTTAACTCACTCGCATATTAATTTAAAGTAAGTCAGTCTGTCGTGCTGCTCAAACATGTGTTTGGCGTTACCCTTCCCTGCTGGTGGTGCTCAGCTAGAAGTAGATTTCCCAAGACGACACAGCGAAGACCCCTGAGCAAATGCCACGGTGTGTGAACCATGATGCCACCACTCGCATACATTCTCTCTGGAACGTAGGTGGCATGGATTGTAGCGCGCTGTGCGAACCACTGCAATACCAATACAATGACAAAGATCCTCCCAAACAAACTTTTGGGCCAAGTGCTATGAAGTCCGGCACGGCACACGAGGGGGTGGGTGGCCAGCACCACGCCCGCCTGGCCACTTCTCTCTCCCTAGTAGCGATGTTTACGCACTGCACCAGGTACTGGAATCGGGCCGCCAGGTTTATCGAGCAGTACGCTAACCGCTGCACTACACATCTATACACTCAATCCCACACACACGCACACGCGTCTGCACACTCCGGGCAATGGAGCCACTTACCCAGCAGGTGGATCTCGTCGATAACGAGCTAGCGCCACCTGCTTGACGTAGGAGCGGCTGTGCCAGCTGCGGCTCACGCCGTCCCACTTCTCGGGGGTTGTGACGATCAGGTCGGCGCTCGCGATGGCACGGGCGTCTGGGGTCACGTCGCCCGTGAGCTCCACCACCCTGGCAGCGGCGCACACACAGAGAGATCCCCCCCACCGTATAGCCTTAACCAGAACTGCTGAGGCTGTTAGCGAGCAGAACCTGGCCGCCTATGTCTCCCCCAGTGGCGATGTTTACACACCGGACCAAGTACTCAATTGAGGCTGAGTCGACCTAGGCGATGCCCATGATCGGTTCAGATAATTGTCACTGGTGTTGGCTGTCAGCAGGTATCAAAGCCCGAGTAGACTGTTGGGGCAAGTGCTGTTAGCGAGCATCTATGAAGGCCAGAATGGATACACGAGGGGATGGGTGGCCAAGACCACGCCCAGCCACATTTGTCTCCCTAGTGGTGAAGTTTACACACCACACCAGGTACTCATTTGAGGCTGAGTCGACCTAGGGGAGGCCCAGGACCGGTTCAGATAATCGTCACTGGTGTTGGCCGTGAGCGGGAATCAAACCCGGGTCGCAAGGTTTGTAGTGCAGCGTGCTAACCGCTACACTACTGCTTCAGCACACACGCAGTGACAACACAACTTGTGTCATGCCATGGAGTGCGTGACCGATTAGTGTAGGATCTCGGAAGTTAAGTAAGGTTGAGCCTGCTTACCATCACTTAGGTGGGAGACTGCTTTGGGATACCAGTTGCTGTAGGCTTGAGCTGTGATGCAGCCACCTTTCCATCACCCAATGACCTACTGATTAATCCACCTATGAACCCACTGAACCGCTGTCTCACCTACCAACCCAGGCACCTACCCACTCACCCGTCCATCCATTCTATCGATCTATTTATTTGTTCCTTAATATACATGATCTCTAGACTATCCACAAGCCAAAGCACTGCGTAAGCCAGCACTGGGCATGGTACAACACAGTTCCATCAAGTGGGGAAAAAGGCCCTGTACTTCGTGAGATGTGAGATGAATGATGAACCACCTCTTTCCCAGCTTCTGTTCCAGTCGAACCTTCCAGTCCTCCATCCTCTCCCGCACCAAGGCCTTTAGGGGAGCGATGTACACCGCCTGCCAGACACGTGCGCAGGGGTGAGCAGTTCAAAGGCGCGGAAGCCGGATGACGTGTTAATTAGGCCTACATTCAGCAGCGGATAGACCACACCAATCGCAACAAAACACCGAAACGCCGGCGACCGAGACCGGACCTTGGCTCCGGGGTGAGCGTTGAAGATGCGGAAGATGGCGAGCTCTGCCGCCACGGTCTTGCCGGAGCCCGTGGGTGCGCCCAAGCAGGACGTTGCCATCCCCGTGGTACAGCGTGTGGAAGATCTGCGTCTGCACGGGGTTGAAGTGCGTGAAGCGGTAGAGGGCCTCCAGCCGCGTGTCGCCCAGCGCGCTCACGGGAAGTGGCTGCAGGTCCAGCAGCTCTGCAGGGGGAGTGGGCACGCGGGGAAGGTAGTGCACACGGGGTGCCACGGTCAGGCCACGGTGTGGCGGTGGTCTCAGGGCAAAGCTCTCGTCGTTATCGCGACGCCACCTGACAAAAGACCGATCCAATTCTGATCGAGAACGATCCTCGCCGGTCCCTTAAAGGCTGTTCGTGACAGAATTTAATTAACACCGAGACCTGACTTTTTACACCGGCCGCTCTGAGCTTCATCAAGTAATAAATCTTGGTCAGGTGGTGGAGGGTTCATGAGAAGACTTTTGGCATAAAACTACTACGTGGCCGCACCAAAAACAAAATATGGATCATTGCATTTGCTAGGACAACCCCTCGTTTTAAGTTAGGTTTTCTACTCTAACGCCTTTTCCAATGGCTCCACAGATCTCAGCCAGCGTGGGGGCCATCGAGGTATGGGCGCTTTCCCACTAGATATTTGCCGAGCCGAGTCTAGCTCGGGGCCAAGCAGGGCCAGGGACGCGATCGAGCGCACAACTCAAACGCAGCGACACCGCATCGTCTACACGCGTCTCGACGAGTTCATCCTTGAGCGACACCGGCTGCACGCACGGCCTGGCTTCTGCACCTCCAGAGCCATGCCGGGCTGGCTCGGCACACAGCCCGAGCGCGGCGCGGTTGTTCGGCGGAAAAGGGCCATCGGCGAGAGGGGGCCTTGATAGAATCTCAAAAGAGGACGTGACCTGAAAAACCAAGCAGCTCGGTTCATCCATTCATCGATGAGTAGGTACCCCGGTGGCGAGATGTTATCTGCCTCGCCTGGTATACAGGAGGTTGTGGGCTCCATCCCAACCTGGACGCCTGCTGCTGTATATTTGGAGTTTGCATGTCTCTTTCCCCATGGTGGTGAGAATTTTTCTCCAGGCCCTCCGGTTTTTCCCTCTGCATTTAGAATCAACATGCGGTCAAGAGCATTCGGCTGCTCTACATAGTTTAAATAGTTTTAGAGTCAGTCTGGCTCGGTATTTCGCACGATTGATTGGCAGTGCTCAAGCCTTCTTCTTGCATGCTCTCTCTCCCTATGGTTGTGTGGACTTTTCTCCGGGTGCTCCGGTTTTTTTCCCCCCACATATAGAAACATGCATTTACAGTATTTGGCTGCTATACATTTCCAGATGATAAACAACTTCGTTGAGCTATCACTTGTGGCCGTATCTCTTCTGAAAAAGAGCCAAATAGCTCAGTGGGGCCTTTACCTGGTAAAATAATAATAGTTTTAGTTTTGTTATCGCTTTAGAGTAGTCGTAGTAGTAGCAGCGGCGGTACCAGTGTGTGGCGGGTGCCTCTCTGGCAGGATCAGCTGCTGGAAGTTGATGGGGCACACGGCCTCCGAGCCCAGCCAGCGGTCCGACACGGCGCGCACGTAGTACTGCGAGGGCAGCGGCTCGAAGATGGGGATGGTGAACGTGACGCACTGCGCCTCCTGGGACAGCACCTGACAGGCCGGTGGGGGGGGGGGGGGGGGGGGGGACGCAAGGATCTCGACGGTGACTTCATCTTCACGGCGGCAGCGTGGTGGTAACGGTTGTGCATCACGGCAACGAGTGCCTGGGTTCAATTGCCGACTCGGGCGCCTTTCTGTGCGGAGATTGTTTGTACCTCCCCCCGTTCTGCAGAGTGAGAGTGCGTGCGTGCAGAGCGGTGGCGTAGTAGGTTAGCGCGCTTTGAAGCAATACAAATGCAACACATTCACTGTATTCATTACAATAGTACGGGGGTTCTTTTAAATCTTAATTTAACGTCTGTTTTTCATTTTCCATGTTTTTTTATTCCATGCGGCCTACAATCCTGCCCATTAATTACCCCGCATAATCAAGAGTTGACTCTGCATTAATGCATTTCAGATGTTACCAGAAATTAAACAGCATGCTACTGCTGGTTATGAATGCTGTGGACGCTGCTGCTGCTGTTGCTGGAAAACGTGTTTAGATTTAATATATTTGTACAAGTTGTGCATTTCGAAGTAAGGTCTTGCTTAACTCCGCGTGTATCCCAACATGACCGCCAGCTCATTCTTAGAACCTCACATGCACGGTGACAATCCTCAGCCTCATACATTCACGTTTTCCTAAAGAGGCAACCTGGGGCTCCGGTGCCGCGTGCGGCTCTTTAAGGAGCTGCTTCGTGACCGTTATTCACCAAGGACCCACCGCATCTCGCATTCACACGCAATCTTGAGTTTTCTCTCCGAATTCGAAAAAAATGGCATCTTATGGTTATTTTGGTTGCCCACCCCTGATCAAGACTCTCAGACTACGATGCAGACACGTAGGCTATGATTATTTATACATTCAGACTCTTACCTAGACGCTCAACAGAAAGCGCTCGGAGGCCTTGTGTGAATGGCGCTATATAAAACTGACTTCAACTTTCTTACTTACTAATATATTAACATTTTTAAATACCTTTGTTGGGCCACACATTAAAACCCCGCTCGGTCGCTTCGAATTGGCCGATGACACCTTAATATATAGGGGACCCCAGATGTTGGGGTGAGGAACTTGGCACCGGCTCACCGGCCGGCTTCCTTTCCCATTCATCTGTGGTTCCGCGCGTCCCCTCTCTCACTTCAACGGCGCGCGAACGCCGAGCAGTGGCGGTGCAGCGGTACAAGTTGGCATTATTATTATTCCTTCCGTCGAAGCAAGCGGCCGCTGCAGCAACAGCGGTGGATGGGCGCACCAACATTAGGAACGCAATGTTGGCGGTTAAAAATATTTCCCACCAGTGCCCGAAAAGCAAGGCCGAGATGCTCGTGTTGACGAATAAATATAGGCTTTTTTGGAAGTGCAAGGCCTCATGTGGCTGTGAGCCGCACGAATTAAAGTTGTGGGTCGTCGGTTTCCGCTCTGATCTAGACGCTCAGACGACGAAGCACCGTACCACATGTCAGTTTCAGCTGGACATGAAGGCGATTACACACTCTGGATATACGCTGTCAGTTAGACACTCGGGTTACGAGTACGCCAGCGGCTCACCAAGTCTGTGGGGTGTCCACGCGGCACGAGGGTAGGACGAGTGCGAATGTCACCTCACCTGCTTCTTGAGGATCATGAAGTTCTCCGAGTGGTAGATGTGATCGTTGGTGGGGTCCTCAACCCAGATCCACCACGGTTCGCCAACAGAGCCGTGAACCTTGACGAAGTTTAGATGAACAAACACGTCATCAACAATCGAGCAGTTACGTTTTGATTTAGTCATTAACGTACGATTGTGGTGGCGACATATCCATGTTGTATGTAGCTCGAACTTCTTTGGCACCGTACGTAGCCAACCGTGCTAATCGGAGGCGCAGTGTTTCAAGGCATCGTTGCATACCTGACGCCTACGAATGGTCGGACAACGCTTGCGTATATCCTGGAGTAGCTGCTCACCTGGTCGCACCAGGTGAAGTCGGCCGTGATGGAGAGACGCACGCGTAGCACAGTGCGCGTGATGGGCTGGATGGAGGCCTCTAGGGCCAGCGTGGGGATCTGCTGGACGCACTGCTTGATCTTCTGACCCATTGCCACGTGGTGGATCATGTGTCCTGCTCGCATGCGTGGGTGGGAGGGTGAGAAGCGGCAGTCACTTCTAGCACTCATTGTGAAAGACCCAACGCAGGCGAAGCCAGGGACTGATCTTCCGCTCAGCTCATGGTCCAACCTAAACGACATCCACTGCACATACCACATGGCAGATGCCAATACCCGATGCACAAATGGAAAATATAAAACTCTCCAGTTTGCGGCCGTGGCCATCCAGAACGAACCGTACAACATGTAACGACGCAATGCCCGATCCACAAATACGAAGCAGACATCACAGCGATACCTGCGATTACCTGGCTTGATCACCTTGATGTGAAATTGTAGTTGTTGCTCTGCATCTACATCAGCCATATGGAAGAAGAAGACTTGAGAGCACTTCCAATCAATCGTGCGAGATACCGAGCCAGACTGACACTAAAACTATTTAAACTATTTAAAGCAGCCGAATACTTTTAAACGCGTGATGTTGATTCTAAACGCAGAGGGAAAAACCGGAGGACCGGGAGAAAAATCCACTCAACCACGGGGAGAGAGACACGCAAACTGCAAAAGTACAGCAGGCGTCAGAGTCAGGATCGAACCCACGAGCCCCTGCTTACCAGGCGAGGTGGTTAACATCCTCGCCACCGTGCCACCGCTATGAATGATCCAGTAGGCGGCGTACCCTCAACTCGGTTCTTTGTCCCGCCATGAGATGAGTGCAGACCGATTTCACGCTGCAAATGCGATTCATGTGAGCTGCCAGTGGGGAGCGAAGCTGCCGTGCACAATCCCAATCGAGGAATTTGCGGTGTCATTTTTAAAACTTGGCAAAAATGTCGACCACAATGGGCCTACGCTCCTTTCCAATGACACCAGGGGGATTTTGAACGTCCACGGCACGCATTTCTGTACGGTCAATACGCGCCGCGGAGATAACCAGTGAAGCCTCGTTGGCTTCGAACCAAACCACGAACCTCTGGCAACGAGCGGCAAACGCTCCGCACCGCTGGGGCCACGTCACCGCCCCCGCTGCCCATTCACTCGTAAACGTGAGATAAGGAAGCCAACACACGGGAGACCTGCCCTGCCCTTTTCCCCTTCTTTTATTCTACGGTCGTGACGCAACGGGCGTGATCAGTGTGGGGTCGGGATGGGGGGGGGGCGAGGTGTGTCTTTTCTGAAGAGTTACGGCTCCCCCTTGCCAAAAAACCGACGGCCGTCACGGGAAATTTACCACAAGTGCCGTGTGTCGGTGTGCCGTTACGCACGGCTGCCCGGGAACCACGCAAGCGTCCCGACGCTTGTCACAACAGCCGCCCCCGGCCGAGGTCGGACGGGAGCACACGCGATGGCGATGGGGATAGGCAGGCGTGGAGGCAGACGAATGAGAAATTCAAAACTCTGGTCTGCTACTTTAAGGGGACGTAAACGCAGGAGGAGACGGTTGAATAGGCAAGGCTGGTGCCCCAGGGTGTTGCCGCTAACTAACCGCGATGGACTCACATTTGCTGCCTTTACAAGAGCCTCCTCGCCACGTTTAAAATTCCTCTAGGGGGTAAGTGACTGTGTTGGGGTCAAAGGTAATGGTGCTGAGCTGACACCGCTGAGATGCTGGGTTCGATACAGGACAGCCAACTAAGATTACCCCGAGTTGTCACGTCCAGTGAGTTTATTGCCTTAGCCCAGTCACAAATGACTGCAAGACCCCATTAAATTGAGCTGCGTACTTAATTCAGCTAAATTACAGCTATAAGAATTAAAATATTGGTTTGATTTTGACCATCAGGTCAAGAACCGTACTCTCATATGCAGAGCGAGTCGGACAGTGCTGCTCTCCACTCTGGGGACCAGAGTTCAGAAGTCTCCGTGAAATTTGCCTCCGTGGTGGGCCATTTTCTCACACGAAGGGTTGCAACTGGCTCAGAACCGGCAGGATTCTTCAACTCACGGCGTGACGTCGACAGCACAATCGGGATAAATATCGGTGGAAAAGCTCTGCTGGACCCACGTCGCCTTCAAATCCTCCCACGTGATGTCCCACACGACTGACAGTCCCGCCTCGTCAAGTCGTTGCTCAGTGATTGACCGTCTCCACCATCCAGCGTCTTCTCTGCCATTCGCACTGCACTGCAGCGCACTGCAGTGCGAACCAACGGGTCACAGGTCAGTGGCAGCCGGGTATCTGAACCATTCCGTGGGGCATCTGCTTCAATCGAGGCACACCGACAGAGTAGGGTGAAGTACGGTCAAACATCCGCCATGACCTTTCGCAGCAAGCGGACGTCTTCAATCAGCAGGAGATTGACAGAGGGCCGTAGATTATTACCGTGATTAAATTGATTGATGCGCTTCCACGGTCTACAAGAAGCGATACTTATGAACACAAAGCCTAATGTCTCTACACCATCTACCTTTCTCATATTTTCCAATCGCAACACGAATCACAACCACTGCCCAGGAGCTTGCAAAACACGGGCAAGCTAAAAACCGGGTAAAAACAATCAATAAAAAAATACAACGCATGCATTTCACTCTGATGTGAAAAAAATATAACAATATTATTATTTAAATAATTATATTTATGTTTTGCATTCCACGTGCCACAGGGAGAAGCCATTCAGCTTGGCGATTCACATTTGGCCATTGTGCTCACACAGCAGCACCTCCCCGTTCATCATCATCACTATCATAGCCAACGCAGACAGACTCAGACGAGTTGGCAGAGTTGCGCACAGCACGTCGGGCACAGGTGCGGCCCCCTCCGATGCCGTCTGATGTCTAAGAAGATGGAGTGCCCGATACAGAACCAAACAACATAGAGGGGCATTTGTGTCCAAAACGGAGCACAAGGGAACAATACCTCCGCTTGAAATGCCTTTTAGAGATGCGGGCTCCCGTAAATCGTGGCTAGTAAAACAAACCGGACAGGCCGGCCCATTAGACGGGCCTTGGCCCCGTTAAATTTAGAGGCAGCGGCGTTTTATAGGGTGTGCCGTATAACTCGGAGAAATGTGCAAATGCAATCTGTTCCACCTGGCCGCCCGTACAGGGTGTGTTCGTTCGAGTGTGGTTTGAACATTCATTACTTCTGCTGTGTGCAAGACCGAAGACAAAGATTCCCCCTCGCTCTGTATTAACAAACAGACTGTTGGGACCATAGTGCTGTCAGCGAGAAACTATGACGGACGGCACGGCGCACTCGAGAAAAGGTGCACCGTGCCCAGCTGTTAATGCCTGCCCCAGCGCTAATCTTAGCCGAGAGGGACCAGGTTCTCACTTCAAGATGAGCCACCAGCCTAGGAGAGGCACAGGACTGACGGTTTAGATTTCAATTGCCACTGGATATTAGCCGTGGCGGGAATCGAACCCAGGTAGCTGGGCTTGCAGCCAGGCACACTAACCAATGTGCCACGACTACTTCTCATCTATGGTGCGTGCGAGTGCACACACGCCTTCGCATGCAAAAATAAACACGTGTGTGCGTCACATGTAATGCATCAGTTGAATTAGCAATCGTATGATTGAGCGAGCAGTTGAACACACGGACAATCGAATGAGCGGGCAGTTGAACGATCGTTTGAATGAACGCGGCTGAACGAGCCACGAGATTGCGATGTGCCACAACACGCTACCTATGTCGTGGCTGCTCATGTCTCGGAGGTTGTCGACCGTCATCTTGCGTGCCTCCAGCTTCTCGAGCGTCGTGTGCGGCAGTGCCGAGAACTGGCGCAGCGGGTGGGCCCAGCCCCAGAGGCGGCGGTCGATGGCCTTGCTCAGGGCCAGGAGGCGGCTCGTCATGGTGGGCCAGCGCTTGCGAAGCGCCGTCTCGAAGAGAGAGCGCACGATTCGCGCTGCGTTCTGCCAGGGGGAGACGGACGGACGTGTTTGGAACAGGGAAGGACTCGTTCCATGTCCTCGTGGTCAAAGTGTCTACCTACTCAATTGGGAGTTGAATGGTTAATCGGCAAACAATTAAAATGAACCAAACCATGAACCACTTAAACCGACTATTTAACCAGCCCACCAACCGCCAACCATTTTTACGAAACACTAAACCACTTAATCATCCAACCACTAAGCCAAACACTTAACCAGCCAGCCAACTAACTAACCTACGATCTATCCAACGAATCACCATAACAACCAACCAATCAACCAACCGACAGACAAACCAGCCATCTAACAGGGCAGCCTGGCAACAGAGCCACGGACCAACACACAAACAGGCAGACACAAAGAACAATGAGAGAGACGCACTCAAACACAGGCAGACACACGCAATCAAACACGCCCCCACAATCGTACAAACGCCCATCATTTAGACCAGAGGTCGACAACCTGCAGCTCCGGAACCATGCACGGCTCTTCCAAGGACCGCTTCGTGACGTCGTTCATCAACGACCACCGTCTCTCGTATTCAGCACACTCGCGGAGCGTGCCATCCAGACTCACCTGGGCGATGTAGGAGAGGTCGGACACGAGCGAGAAGCAGTCGACGTCCCCGCGCGAGATGTACGTCTGCAGCAGGATGTTCACCTTGCCGTAGCCGTTCTCCACGCCGCCGGCCACGGGCAGCAGGCAGTAGCCGTCGGCTAGCTGCTCGAGCTCGCCGAGTTCATCCTCGCGCACCTAACCCAGCAGCCCAGGGGAGCAAATACAAAGATCCCCCGTATAGCCTGTAACAGACTGCTGGGGCAAGTGCTGTGAGCGAGCGCCTATAAAGTCCGGCACGGCACACGTGGGGGTGTGGGTGGCCACCACCACGCCCGACCGCTTTTAACACACTGCACAAGGAACTCATTTGAGGCTGAGTCGACCTAGGAGAGGGCCTAGGACCGGTTCAGATAATCGTCACTGGTGTTAACCGTGAGCGGGAATCGAACCCGGGTCGCCAGGTTCACAGCACACTAACCGCAACACTACCGCTCCCCACACACCTACAGGCACACACACAGCACGCTGATGTAGCAGTTGCTGATAGTGCGAGCCAGGCGTGGTGACGCACGCTAACAGAGCCAGCGCGTCGGAGACAAGAGTTGGTGGATGTGACGCCGATAGCAGAATCGGTATAACATTGGGGAAAAGATAGAACGATAAAAAATTAAATACAGACCGATTGGCATCTGCATGAACAATGAAATTGGTTGATCGAGAACAAACATTCAATGGGCATGGGGATGCCTTTGCAAAAAAGGTCACACCGTGTGCAATTGCCATGCAGTCCCACCTTGATCTGCTCAAACTCCTCTGCCTTGCACACCATCGATAACACGTCCGATTCCGTCAGGTGCGGGCCAAAGTAGTCGTTGAAAGTCTGCCACAAGAGGAGAAACGAAACGGAGACAGCGAAACGCCGTTTTAATTACGACAAAACCCCAGCGTATACTTTTCTGACAAAATTTTAGAAACCGTAAATAACTGAATTCTACGTGTGCGATTCAATGTACGTAGTGCAATTGTAACGGTTAATTTGAATCAACAACGTGTTGTATAGGCTTAGTTGCGAATAATATCAGTGGAGCTTTAAATGCCAGCTTCGCAAAAGAGAGTGAGATTATTTTTTATTCATGACAATATTTGTTGGGCAGAGGTGTGGGACTCTTGCAACTTACTTAGCATGTTACCCAGTGGACTACTGGGAGCTGTATGCAAAATACACGTGTTCAAACATGAACGCAATATATGGTACCTCTGATAATAGGTTTTTCCACTTTTTTCTGGCAACAAAACAGCTGTGTTAAGATGTTAAAACACCAAACTGAATCATGTCTGCATAAACCACAATGCTTGTGGTCAGAATGCAAAAAAAAAACCTACTCTGATAATATATGCATTGTCCTTGAAACTGATCGGTCCACACCAGAGACATCTTTCTTTGAGCCTCGTCTCAAACAGTGTTAGACCAGAGGACGCCAAAAGGCGTACGGTACCACTATAGCAATCAGGAAAATACATCAAAGAGTATTCTGAGAAGTGTTTTTTTATCTGGCTTTTTACAATTCTAATGTCTTTATACTAACAGTAAAGCATTATCATTTACTAATTCAGCTTAAAACAATTATCTCATTCGTCTTTGAACCCATAAGCAGTCAGGCACACCACACACAAAGCTCTCTCAGTCAAAGCTATGTTATTCAATTTAATTCGGATATTCTCCCCGTCCCGTGGGACCACAATCTAAATGCTAATTTACCCTAAGCCGTAACGCTTTATGTTCATTTAAATAAAGGCATAAGTTTAAAGGCATTTTCCATAAAGAGGTATTTACTGCCAATGTCTTTTCCCCGGGACGAGTTAGTATGCGCCGATACCAATCAGGCCGTGATGGCGGAAACGTAACGGTGCCTGCCAGGTGGCTCAGCGGTAGAGCGAGCGGCTCGTGAGCTTAACACTGCGAGTTCAAACCCTGGTTTAGGGCTTGCCTCAGCCAATCATCCCCTCTAGAATAAAAAAATAAACGAGTACCACTTGGCAGGGAAGTTCACAGTGCACTGTCCTATTGATTGGACTTGGCCCTGCCATAGGAATGTGGATTTTATTTTAGTCTTGGCACAAGGCTGCAAACAAGATATGAGCTCCACCTCCATGCTTATTCAAGCAATAAATGACTCACCCCTGGGTTGGCCAAATAGTACATGGATTGGGCCTCTCCTCACAGCCTAACGTGAGTCGTAAGTAACCTGGTGCAGTGGTCACTGTTTGCATTGTGGAGACAAAGGAGGCGTGGGGTGCTTGTGGTGCTGGCCACGTCACGACGGCTTTGCCAGCAGTCGTTGGCTGTGATGGTCTGGCATAGTTCTGGCATTCGGTGTAAATGCGAGGGATAGAACTTCCTGCGATTGTGCCGATAGCATTCACTTGATCACGGATAGCATTCACAGTGTTCGCACTGCTAGTGGCGGCAATGACTGTGATGGCGTCTGACAGTGATAGTTTTTTACAACAGTAGCCGTGATGTGAAATCGATAGTGATACTGCCAAGAGCCACATCGCTGAGTGAAAGCGGTGACAGCGACGGCGCTGACAGTGACAGCACTAACAGTGACAGTACTGACATTCGCAGCTATGACTGTGGTCGTTCAATACTGGCATTTACACTTCAAAACCAGCAGTGGCATTGCCAGCCGTAATATGACTGACAGCGCGGGTGGAACCGGAAACAATGCGAGTGAGACTAAAAGACAAAGATCCCCCATAGAGCCTTTAACAGACTGTTGAGGCGAGTGCTGTTAGTTAGCGAGCACCTATTAAGGCCGGTACGGCATACGAGGAAGAGTCTGGCCAGCACAACGCCTGGCTGCCATCGTCTCCCCAGCACTGATGTTTACCCAGTGCACCAGGTACTAATTTAAGGCGGAGTCGACCTAGGAGAGACCCAGGACCGGTTCTGATATTCGTTGGCCACGAGCGAGAATCGAAACTCAGGTCGGAGGGTTCGAGGTGCAGTGCGCTAACCGCTGCATTACCGCTGGAGGCGCCAAAAACGCATGCACGCATGAGCACACGCATTGCACAAAGACAAATATCCCCCGTGAACATTTAACAGGCTGTTGGGGCAAGTGGTGTTAGCAAGCACCTATTAAGGGGAGCAGTAGTGTAGCTGTTAGCGCTTTGCACTATGATCCCCGCTCGCGGCCAACACCAGTGACAATTATCTGAACCGGTCAAGAGCAAGCCTCCCCTAGGTCGACTCTGCCTCAAATTAGTAGCTGGTGCGGTGTGTAAACACTGCCACTGGGGAGACAAAGGTGGCCGGGTGTGGCGCTGGCCACCCACCCCCTCGTGTGTCGTGCCGGCCTTCATCGGCGCTACTCGCTAAAACACGTCACGCACGCACGCACCTCGATGGTGTTGTACTTGATGTAGAAGTGGCTGGCCGTGCGTCCCGTGTCGGTGGGCGAGAAGTATCCCGTGCGCTCGTCAAAGCGAATCATTCGCGCCTTGTCCAGCTTCCGGCCCGCGTCCACCACCATCTGCTCGCGGAACTTGTGCAGCGACGGGTCGGCCTTCGCCGCGGACACGCGCCGACGGGGACGGGGAGAGAGGGTGACACGCGGACGAGGGCATGAGCCAATGGAGGCGTGAAGTGAGAGACTCACGTGGTGATGCACAAGAGAAGAGACCGGCGTTTGGGATTCGCTTGCCAAAAATTACACGCGAATGAGAAGGCGGTTAATGAAATGTTTACTAGCACCTGAGAGCCAGGTGGCTCAGTCGGTAGGGCTTGCAAATGCTAGGGATACAGATTGACATCCTGGATGGGGATCGATGAGGTCCATCATTTATCTGGGGTCACTACGTAAGTATCAACTTTATGGGGAAGTCAACACTAGTTTTTTCTAATGATAAGACTCGCCCCGGCCATAGGAATGTGGAAATTCCACCACTGCCTCGCGGCTGTAAATGGGAGATGAGGTCGCCGTTTCGATTCCATCTCCCAGCGCGGCAGTTCATAGAATGGGTGAGTTTATTAAATCCGCCCCATTTCTGTCCATCCACCCAGCTGTGTGAATGGGTACAAGTTAGTCGATCGACAGCTGGCGTGTGGTGGGATAAAGCGTGGTGGGCACTCCCACCTCATCCAGCGTGGAAGAGTAGGACAAATACATTCTAGATTCGGGGCTTCTCCAAAGCTCCCTCTAGTGGAGGCCCTTCTTCCGCCTGCAGTAGCGGAAGCAAGCAATTGCAGGGCTGCACCTTTGCCGGCTTGTACGGCGGTGTCACGTGACATGCAATATGGAGCCCCGAGCTTCGGGTCACAATCGCCAGACTTTGCGTTGTCTAGATATCGCTTGGACACATTTGTGTGTACGTCTCACCTGTTGCGTGTTGTAGCTGATTCCGTACGCCAGTGGGTTGGCTCGCATGCGGACGTACAGGTACGTGTAGCTCAGCCACCTCACGGCCTCCTGCACGTTGGTCACGGTTCCCAGGGAAATCTGCGGCGGGAGAAAAAAAAAAAACGCCACAGAGCTCAATCGGGCGCATCAGTCTCAACGGAAGCTTTGACGTCAACACACGTGCGCGTGCGATCGAGATACGGTGTAATCTACATCAAAAAGGTCATCACGGCCAATGCCTCAGATGCCACCACACCCCCGCCATTGCTTCCTTCCTTCTGTCAGACACACCCCTGTTGCACAGTTGAAAACCGACCTTTAAGATCTGCCCTTACAGAACCTCTACAATCTGGCCTTAATGCCTTGCCCTTGAAACATACGCAGTTCATGCGTTATCCGAGGACATGGCCTTGTGTGAGTGCTGCACAGGTACACGGTTCGAAGCCAGCGGGCGACCTGATTAATACTGCGGGTAAACCAGTGTGCTAGCGTCATGCTATAAATGACTAATTTGGGATGAAGCTGATAAATCACCGCCCCCTGTCGCGAAAACTCGGCAGGAACTCTCTCGGAAATAGCCATGAGATTTGGCAAGGCTTTCCTAGGTAAGCAAGCAATAACATAACATAAATAAAAGCTCATCACGAGCATAATCTGGCTTAAGGTATTTCAATTGGCCACCAACCTCTGGCTACCACCCCTATACATGCTGCATTATATTATACAGAGATATAAAAATAAATATGGTGGACGTTTAACATTCCCAATGGTGGAGACAAGTCTCTTTATCGGACAACCACTGTTGGCTTCCCCACAAAGTAGTCTTCATTTTATCGACCCCCCGAGGGATGATGGGCGGCTGAGTCAACCCCCCTTAACCAGGATTTGAACTTGCAGCCTTATGACTGCGAGCCGCTCTCTCTGCTGCCGAGCCACCTGGCCAGACATCGAGTCCATGACCTTGGGAATCGATTTGACAAACGGCTATCGCAAAAAACTGATAATAACCTGACAACCCCCCAGTAGGTTACATTCAATATCAGGTTTCAGCACAAGTCCTGAGCCAATGATGCTGACACGTTGACCGACTCGCCCACTCTCAACGTGAGAATGACAATGATGAATAGCAATATAACGATAATAGGTTTTTGTAAAATGCTCCTCGGCTTTCTTTTTGTTAGTATTATTCACGGGGCACATGCTCTACATTTTGACCGATTCCCTTTTTACAAACACTTAAATCGGCAAACCGCATTGAAGACCTCTCACCCGTAACGGCAGATCCAGACAAAAAAAAAAACAGACATTTGTTACAAAACCCACGGAGCACGAACAAAACAAAAAACGCATGGGCAACGCAAGCCCTTTCTTTTGTTATGGCAACTCCTCCGTGCCAAGTTTGATGATGCTGCCGATGAAAGGCACGAGTCACGCAGGTCAGCGCCAAATGACCTGGGGGGGGGGGGGCTCTCTCTGAATTTCCAGCCGAGCGTGTGCATCTGTGCAACAGGTACGACGACCACCACCGCAGGAGGACACGGAGCGGGCCAGACGCCTGCCCCCGTACGTGACAAATTTACCATCGCGTGACGCGCGCGGTGATTTATTGGCGGCTAATGGCACAGTTGTAATAACAGCGGCGTGGAAAGGGGCCCGAGGCGAGCGATTATTGTTCATTGATATCTGCCGGAGGCATCATTATTATTACCATCATCGGGCCAATTATCTATCCATTCAGAGATGAAGGCCTCACCATGCTACTGACACGCCTTGCAGTACCAGTAATGCCACAATCCATTTAACTTCTTCACACGAGCCGATCTCATTGTTCCATTTCTGTGGTGGTAATCCTCTCTCTCGGATTTGCATTATACTGCCAATAAATTACTAGGCTTGTCCACTGGCTGTCGTCATTCCCTCCAGCTTTGTATCCCACTCATTTGCTTGGACTGAATCCATACTGCTCAAGTTAAGCACTCCCAGAAGGCCGTGGGGACAATGGTTTGTGTAATACATGCGTTTATTTCTTATGTGCAGAAACATATTGATGCACATGAAGGTATCTGCTTGCTTATATGTTTACTTACATGAAATCAACACGATATCTCCGATTTGTATTTGTTCCCTGATTCCAATGCGACTCCACTGGTCTCTAAGTGTAATTCCCCAACGTGCATCTCCCCATGCTTCTTTGCACACCTTTCATCTGCAGTTACATTTTCGTAATCAGTGTCCATAGTTCTGATCAGCATGTTTTAGCTGGTAAAATGCAATATAAAAAAAAATGTATTTTATCATAAAAGGCCCACTGAGCTAACTAAGTTCTTTCAGAAGCGACCTGGCCACAAGTGATAGCCCAATGAAGTGGACGATCATACATAAATGCACAGGAGTCAAATGCTCACGGTGATTGTAAATGAGGGAAAAACAGAGGACCCGGAGAAAACTCCACACGACCACAGAGAGAGAGAGAACATGCAAACTCCACATATACGCGCGTCAGGGTTGGGATCGAACCCACGACCTTCTGTATACCAGGCTGGCTGAAAGCGACTCATCCTTGTTCGTGCCTTCATTTCATAATTCTCTTCTCAATTCCACCTTCACTAAGTGCCCGATGTACAAATTTGTTACGTTGTACTTTCAAAGAAGGTTGAAAAGTTGGACTCCAGACAAGTAGGAACAAAACATAGGCAATGAACAACAGCTATTCATAAACAAAACAAATCACGTATTGGATGGCACACAACTTGGAAACACACACACACAGGCGTCAATACTATGTACTCAAAAACCTTCCTCAGACTTTACTGCCCCCTGCAGATTTAAAACTGCATTTAACGTCAAAAAGTTGCAAGCGGTTGACGTGTATTCATTACAATAAACACTGTGGCCTCACGGGAAAAAAAAATATTTTAATCTGCGACGTTTCTGGCAATGGACCTTCTTCAGAGCATATTTACGCACTATGTACACAGCCGTGGCTAAGCCGGCTTCATCCTATCACCCACACAGCATTCTCGGTGCACAAAGCGCCGCCACCTCCTATCCCACGGCGACCGGACACCACAAATTCGACCACTGTTATCGTGCAACGGACAACCAACTGTGGCCGTTCGGCTTGAGCGTCGCCAAGTGCGTCGCTCTCTCCCGTACGCACCTCCGCGTTCAGGTTGTCCTGCAGGCTGGCCTGGAACTGGCTCTCGATGGGGTTCTGCTGAGTCAGCAGCGTGAGGTAGCGGCCAAGCTTGTCGTGCGACGTGATGATGATGCCGAGGCCGAACGTGTCGTACTGGGGCCGCCCGGCACGCCCGAAGATCTGCATCACGTCCAGCGCGCCGAGGTCCACGAAGGTACCGCGCTTGGCGTCGTAGATTTGCGTGCCCTGTGTTGGTGACAATAACGATAATGCTACAGTCGAAGTCGACGATGATGCTGCATGCTGCTATTGACGATGACAACGACGATGACATCTGCAACAACGCAGCTGCTGCCGCCGCGGATGAAAAGGCGAAGACGACGACAACGCCGACGTTGCTGTGCCACCGCTGTAAACAATAACGGCGTTGTTCTTTCACTACCCAAGATGGTGTCGCAGCAATTAAATCATCTTCTGATAGCAAAGCTGCTGTTACTGGTGACGATGACCATGGTGCCGTCACTGTTGCCAATGCAGCTCCTGCCAACAACAACGATGCCGCTGCCGATCACGACATCGACGCCGCGTCCGCCGCACTGCTGAACCGGGGGGCAGCCACCACCGCGGTCGCACCTTGATGATGACAGCGTGGGCGGGCAGGTTGACGCCCCAGGCGAGCGTGGCGGTGCACACGAGGACGCGCACGAACCCGCGCGAGAAGAGCCCTTCGACGAGCGAGCGGTCGGGCCGCAGCATGCCGGCGTGGTGCGTGCTGAAGCCGTCCGGAAACAGCTCGCGCATCGGCTTGTTGCGGGAGCGCTCCACCTGCACTCGAGGGGCACGCATGGAGGAGGAGGAGGACGAACGCCGTCGGTAATACCACACTGGGAGCAAGCAAAAACGTGCAGCCCTGGAGGATTGCTGGCTTAAGGCACTGCTGGTGGAAGGGGGTCAAAAGGAGATCAAGAAAGCCGCCACCCCATCCAGGACCGTAAGAGGTCACTGGGGCCCGCGCTGCCTCACCAGGGTGCCATAGGGGCCACAGGAGGCCGCTGGGGTCTAAGGGGCCCTAACTTTGTTCGATGTGCGCTGTAGTACAATAAAAACGGACCACGGGCGATTCACCGATCGTGCAAATGTTAGCCAATTTAAAAAAGAGGCATTTAATATGAAGCTTTACTAACCAATGAAATTACTCAATCCATGGATCGCTTGCCAATGAATCGACGTGCCGATTAGCCCGCGATGCATCGATACTCTTAACTTGGCCGTCGGATCGACCGCGAGCAGAGTCGATACAACAGACACCTCGATACGGGTTTTGCAAGACCATACGTGGGCAGAGACGTGCCCCTACGGGCAACGCAACGCCTACTTTGTTCCATATAAGGGCCGATCGCTGATCGTCGATTTTGTCGGGTGTCCGATTTCATCAGCGTCCAGCGCCTGCCGCCCTCACCTGCTTGAACGCTGTGCCGTACTCGGCTGACTGCGGCGGCGTGAAGAACCCCGCCTCCCCGTTGTTCTTCGCCATCTCCCTCAGAGCCATGGCCGTGCGGACGGTGGCGTTGCGAGCGTGCACGAACACCATGACCTGGGCAGCGCCAAGGAGAGGCGATGCGCAAACGCCTTAGAAGCACGCCTTCGAATCACAGCCCACTCCACGCCTTGAGAAGTCCGCCGGTCCGACCAGACGTGCGTTCATCCGCGTGTGCTTGCGTCTTCGCGCGGAACATTTTTTTAATAGGCATGATGCGCGCTAGTGAATGGGCAATGTGGATCTTTACACGCGCGGTTTGGGACAATTTTTCCAGGCTTTGGAGCTTTCGTGACTGCAGGAATTATTATTTGGTTCTTTCGGTAAAGTCACGTATAAAGAAAAATAATAAATTAAATAATAGCATACGACGTTTCGATTGCAACACAAGCAATCATCATCAGGTATAATGAAATAGCGACATAAAATCTAACCAGAAAAAATTATAGACAGACATATAAGCAGACAGATATCACCAAGATACACAGAGCGGGCAACACAGGTACAATGAGGGATGATCGTCTCTGTGGGGTGGCCTTAAATAGACAGAGGGGGGCGGAGGCAGCGAGAGGGAGGGGTTAGAGACAAAATTTACATGTCAATGAGTACAAAAAGGAGTGAGCAGGCTTAGGGAGAGATTTTCACACTTAAATTCTAACATAGCAATCTTTGAAATACGTAATCGACCAGGCTATGCGTTAATTGTGTGTTGACCGACTCTCTGTGTCGTTTTACATAACATTTCGATACTTTGCTAGGTTATTTAATTTTAGTGTGTCTCTTTCTCCCCCTAAGCCTGCTCACTCCTTTTTGTACTCATTGACATGTAAATTTTGTCTCTAACCCCTCCCTCTCGCTGCCTCCGCCCCCCTCTGTCTATTTAAGGCCACCCCACAGAGACGATCATCCCTCATTGTACCTGTGTTGCCCGCTCTGTGTATCTTGGTGATATCTGTCTGCTTATATGTCTGTCTATAATTTTTTCTGGTTAGATTTTATGTCGCTATTTCATTATACCTGATGATGATTGCTTGTGTTGCAATCGAAACGTCGTATGCTATTATTTAATTTATTATTTTTCTTTATACGTGACTTTACCGAAAGAAGCAAAGAATAATTTTTCCGGGTTTTTTTCTCCCAGATTTTTATTTCATTTTACAATTTTACAGGATATAAATTATATGTGGTCTCTATTTGCAGGCGAAAGGACGAGTTTTAAATCTTGAGTCAGTGCAGCCCATTATCCCTCTGCGGTTGTTAAAAATCGGTACCACTGTGGGAATAAAATAGTGGTCATCATCTGACTTCCTCTTACAAACTGAATCCCCCCCCACCCCCCCTCCCCCGTATGTCCCTGATCGTTCACTCCGTTCCCGAGAGGAGAGATTAATGAAGCTCCCTGCATTCAGAAGTTGAACCCCAGAGTGACAGATCCCATTCTTATTAGGCTCCCAAGTCTTTTGAAATGTCTTACCACCCTTGGTAACATGTGCCACCTCAGCATCTACTTTCAAATCATGCATGGAGAGTTAAATGTAAAAAAATATATATTTTAATAACATTCAAGCAATAATGAGCCGGGTCCAATTTACCCAAACATTTTTACTTAATATATATTATTTTAGGGCCACAGTGTTACTAACAAATTGTTGAGTTTGTTTTTGTTATAAATCTGCTGAAGCACCACTGTCAATGCAGCAGCATCACTAAGTAATGTCAAATGTTGCTGATTTTACTATATTAATCACTTTTTTTATAGTAACTGTTACAGAAACTCAGGGATCATCAACCCTTTGTGAGAGCCTTGAGAGCTATAAGAGAGGCGGCGTATACCAAAACTTATTTATGTTTGGCTTTGTAAGGGTTTTGTGATAGCGAAAAATTGCGAAAAAATCAATTATTTAATACGTGTATAAAACGTGAAGTTATTGTTTGAACTGATGCCATCCTTGGCGGTTTTGAGATGCTGCTGCCGACGTGCGTACGTGCGAGTGCAGTTTTGAAAGCACTCACTCGTTAATCTCGTAAATTCAAAACGTACAGCAAGCGCCCACGTTGCTAGAACACCATTCCCATTTTGATATCTTTGTAAAAGTTTGCGGGGCCAGCGATTTATTACTTTTGATTCTTAAAAATATACTTTATATTCCTCGACGTTTAAGTAGCCCCTGGACACGGTCGGTACAGTCAGCTCTACATGCAAATTGCAATAGCGTGAGATGCGTCACGGATGTGAAGAAGATGTTAGGAGCCAAGCTGAGATGTGATGTGTTTTCAATTTTGTTTCCGTTGATCATTGTTGGTAAATGTGTACTAGCCTTTTGCCCATCTAAGGACGGGTTTATTTCAGTAAATCTGAAACTTGCAAGCGAAAAGCAGACTGTGACGTGATATTCATTGCATCAATCCGTGTGCAATTTATAAGGTCGCGGTGACACAGACCTATTTCATATAAAGGTTATAATACCTTGTTCATCATGATGTCCTTTTTACTTCAATGTCTCAACAGCGTTACGGAGATCGCATGACGTGAGGGTTCTGCCTTTGTAGTAAGGGATGTAAGTTGACGCTGAGAAGGGGGGAGGAGGCGCCTCGCCCCCCATGTGGAGTGACGTCACCCGCTAATTATTATTAATGGAGGGGGAGGTCCATTTATAAGACGTCACCTTATGAAAATCGATTCGCGAAGCCACTTGCTGTACTGCCGCCTTCTTGCCAATTCACAACCCCAGTAGGTTTATGAGTTTCACAAATCCAAGTGATCCACCAATCCTTTCTGTATTGTATGTGGCGTAACATCTCGCTCGGTTTAAATGCTGTACCATAGGATACGTGCAGCCCTATTGTCAATCCACTGCTGGATGACAGATTCCCCATACTATGAGGGACATGGGGGTTATTTAACCATACTTCACCACGTCGGTCAGTACGGGTTCGGTGTTGGTGGATAGCACGGTTGTGGGACCGTTGAAGTGCAGTACAACAATGTCTTTGCCCTCTCCTGCGTGATAAAAAGCCTACGTGTTAAACTTCCTCGTCTGCGGGTGAATCAAGGCCCTCAGGACTAAACATCCCGCTGTGTGTGGTCGTCACCTATCCGAGTGCTACAAAGCGTTACCCAGGCTTCAGCGCTTGAGATCTGACAACACTGGGCACATTTCTGGTGATTCAACGATGGTGGGCCTGTGACAGCATCGACATATTAAGTGAATAACAATACTAATAATTGGAGTGTCCATTCATGATAATGCAGCACGTCAAATTTGAATATTATTTCAGCAAATGCCTGGATTTTCTCCAGGCCCTCCCTCTGGTTTTCACCCACATGGAAATTGGCCAAGCGTCCCAACACAGGACACTTCTGACAAGATGTCACAAGACCCCCAGTGAGATGACAGTCCCAGGCAAGTTAAGCGACGCTGTTACCGCCGCACCTCCGATTAGCACGGTTGGCTACGTACGGTGCGAAAGAAGTTCAACATTAACGCACATACATACCCCGACCATGAACTATTCGGGGAGAGAAAAAAACCAACCTGGTGTCCAGCCTTGACTTGCTCCAGAACTTTATCATAACACACTTCATCCATGTCGTGCATTTGCTGCATCTGTGAGGCAACAATTAGAGCGAAGACAGCAGCGCATGTGCATACACGTCTCCTGCGGCCAATGCAGCATTTACAAAAATAAAATGACATTTCTAACCAGATCTTGTCTAATGCATGTGTCCCTCTTTCAGTCTCCCAGCGTAAGTAACTCTGAGCATCCTCCACTTACTGCACGGTAATAACGTCTTTCAAGGATCGCTCATAGTTAAAATTGGCAATATCTGGCTTTAGCTATTTTCTTTGTTGCGGTTAACAAGTCCTTCAATGTCAGATCTCTATGTCCCTCTACTACCACCATCTGACATTAGGTCTTTCCTTTGGGCACTGACCAACTTGCTGTGAAAAAAAGCTTCATATAGCTCATCGGACGTTTCCAGGATAAATAAAGATTCAGATTCATGTACCACTGGGTACCACTCGAAAACAAGTCTTGCCTCCTCTGCTATAAATTTGGCCGCTATAAATTGCAGCCAAACACTCTATGAGCCACTTCGTTGAGCTATCATTTGCGAACAGGTCAATTCTTAGAAAAATAGCGATATTGCTCAGTGGGGCCTTACCTGGTAAAATAGTTTAGTTTACTGAGGGGGGGGGGGGGGTGATGATTGCTGCTGCGGTGAATAATCTCAACGTCGCTACGAAACAAACGGCGGAGTTTGCCCAAACTGCCAGGCACACCTTGTTGGTCGTCTTGACGCCGATGAACGTCTGGCTCAGGGGCACGGGCCGGAAGCGGCTGTCGAAGAAGAAGAGGCCGATGTACGGGTTCACGTGCAGGAACCGTGCCACGTCCAGGTAGTTGGGCAGGGTTGCCGACAGACCCACGATACGAATCATGCTCTGAGTGCTCTCCACCTGCAGTCGGACGCAGCAGGTTTAACGGCGGTTCTTGTACGGTGCGATTCTACAATTAGAATGCGTGTACGTGTGTATGTATGTTGAGCTTCTTTCGCTACGTACGTAGCCAACCGTGCTTAATCGAAGGTGCGGGGGAAGGACAACTAAACAGGAAATAAATCATCTTGAATTAGACTGGAGCTATTTTTACACAGGCCTCCAGTTGGGGCATGGGGTCAGAAAGTTACAACAATACAGAAAACGATAGGAGTGCAGGGGAATCAGTCTGTGGTGGGGCAAAGTGTGGGTACTCCCACCTGTTTAGACGGCCCTTGAGCTCTCACCCTAGTGGAAGCCAGCAGTGTCACGAGCAAGTAATTGCAGGGCAGCGCCCTTTCACTTTACCAAGGAAATGTGACCACCTTGTGTAACGATTCTTCACTTAATGTTGATTTTACACTCACAACTCCGCACCTCCGATTAGCACTCAGCACCTACGAGTAGCACGGCTGGCTACGAACGGTGCGAAAGAAGTTCAACATGCATACACAACGGATTATACGCGTCACCCTAGACACCCTAACACCACAAGGGGCTCCTACGGGTACGCAAACGGACCGCGAGCTGCAGGTCGCCCACCCACCACTGGCTTAGGTGTTCAACCACCACCCTGCAGGTCTCAACACTTTCTGCGTCAGCCCTCGCCACTGCCCCACTTTGACATTCACTCTCGTCATCTCTTCACCACTTCCCCCCCTCCCTCAAAGTTCTTAAAACAACAACCTTGCTCGATTAAGGAAACGTGTTAAATCGTATCTATTACAAATTTAACAATGCTGCTTGTCGCCAGCCACAGGGTGATTTGGGATTCTGGGCCCGTGTTCAGCAACCGAGATTAACAATCAAAGTGCAGGCACTGGACACAAAACTAGCCTTGGCAGAAAACTCCCATTAAAGTGTCCAGAGACTCGATGTTTTTTCAGGATATAACGTCAATCATTGTTTTACAGAAAGCCGTAACCACCATGACCATACTTTCTCCAATCAGTCATTCATTAATTTACACATCAATTTTTCTATTTACATTCCCAATATCTGATAACTAAGCGCAATGCAATATACAGACGTTTTGGTCCTTTGACCCTGTGCTCAGCAACTGTGTTCGAAAATAAACACAACATATCCAATCTGTTGACTATAAATAAGTCAACACCTGGGGCTAAATCAAAAAGTTTCAGCATTATCACTCACTAATTATATAAAGGTCTCACTGTTGGATAAACCACCACCTTTTCATCTGCATGGTAATTTATATTTATTTACTCATTAATGAAACTCCCGAGTTAATCTGCTCATCTGTTTTAAAACTAAATGTTATAATCTCTCGGCACTAATCACCTTTGCAAATTAGTTTTTCTTTGTCACATGCAGTAAAAAAGAAAAGAAAAAACCTCATCACAAGCAAGCCAAATTGGATGGAAAACATTTCAGCGTGTATATATTAGTACACGAGCGCATCTCTCATCGGCGACTTAGCATTCGAGAGGGCGACGAGCCGTTTGCCAAAGATAAAACCGCAAAAGTTGTCGCGTCGCACGAAACGCAAAACCGCCCGCCCGCCCGCCCGCCCCCCCGCGCTGTTTGTCAGAAATTCGCCGCCACGTTGCGAGCCGTTGCCACCCTTCAGCCTTCCGCAATTCCACCGAGTGGTGTTTTGACGACGCCAACAGCTGGATCGTAAGAAGAAAAAAAACCCACAACCGTTGGCTCCACGACGCTCAGAATGAGAATCGTGATGTTTTGTTACAATGGAGGAATCGGATGAGCTATCAAGCTCTTTTACACAAGACGTCCAAGTTCAATTTCGATTTAAAGCTTCCGTGACTGCAGGGATTCATCTTCTTAGTTCTTTCGGTAAAGTCATTCACGTCCAAGTTCACTCGGCCTAGCTTTCATGCTTATTTGGCGTAAAACTATATATGCCGCGCGGGAACTGCCCACCGATTAATATGCAGCGCATAAGCGCAATTCGGTAAATGTGGAACGCAAGTGCCGTACAAACACAAATGCTAATAAAACCCAAGTGATTTTCAGTTACACATTGCAGTTCTCTCAAAGCGGAGCTGATGCCAGACCAAAGCCGTGAGTCAGCAAAAGCTGAGATTTACGGTTTTAATTTCCGATTCGTAACAAAAATAGTACCTCTTGCATGCAGCAGCGCAGCAGTGCGGCACGATCCACTGTTATACCCCACATGAATGCTTCGCAACTACGGACCTGGCCTTCATCGATCACTATCTCTGAACCTGGAGAGTGCCTGGATAAGCAACCACTGAGCATAACAGGTGTGTTATAGGCTGTCCGGCTACACTATGCGGAGCATGCAGCAGTGCTCTAAAATCCGCTGTTGTACTGTACTTCTACACTCCTACATCTCAGGACTTGCATAGCCTGGGGGAGGCCCTCATCCAACAATAGATCAACCAAATCGATGCAAATGTGCGTATCAATATTGCCTCTCTTGTCAGTCAAAGGGCTTTTTGTGTATTACCTTATAGGTTTGCCAGATTTGTTGAGTTTGTGAAAAAAGGGGATATTGTTAGGCTGTCGTAAAATGTGCTTCAGCAGAAAAAAGAAACTTTTTTTTTTTAGATTCAACTCTGGCAAATGGTACGCACTCAAGCTCTTCAGCCCAAAAGGTTTTGGCAGCCAAAGCTTCTGCTGCTTGCTAATGATGACAGTGCTGTGAGAATGACAATAATAATGCTATTGCTGTTGCTTCTGATAAAAATAATGCTATTTCTGCTGATTATGATACCAATTATGATAGTGGCATTACCGCTGTTGATGCTGCTTCTGCCATGAATGATTATTAGATTGACGTCGTGGCTGCATTAATGATGGCAAGTGCAATCAATGAATGTTCGCGTTAATGCGGAGAACAGGGGGTATGCATAAAAAAAAACTTAAAACTAACAAGAGCAAATACGCACAAAAACCCGAGACACTTTCAACACAGGCTCCCTTATGGCGCAGGTAATAGGGTTCTTTATCATTTGAGCTCCGAAGTCAAAAGAATGTAAATTGAACACTTGGTTAGGCAGACAACAGCGGCTGGGTCACGGCGACAGGTCTACGTGACATACATCACGGACGCAACGAGAACTGAAATTGGATCACGACAATACGGGCGGGATAATACATGGCTCTCGGTCAAAACGACCTCAGTGTAGTTCCGCATGCAGCAAAATTATAATGGCCAACTGCTACCGGAAATTAAATTTTCTGCTTTTGTCAATAGATAGAACTTTATTAATAGAAGTAGAATAAGGTTTTTTTTGTTTTTGTTTTGGGGGGGCAGGGGGGAAGCAGAGGTCTCTCAAATGCATTGTGTGACTTATACAACACAGGAGACATTGTGGACAAGTGTTAGAATGGTCGATATTTTTCAAATGCTAATTGAATATGAGTGAACAATCAAGCGTGCTGCGAGTGCTCACATGAGTGAGTGAGCAAATTCGTTTGTCTATGGTTGATTCAGTGAGCGACTTAGTTTGCCTACGAATGAACAAGTGATTGTGTTTACAAATGAGGAAATGTATTCGTTAATGAGTGAACCAGTTATTAAGCGAAGTGACTGAGTGTTAAAATGATCATGTGAGCGATACAGCGAACATGCGAGTGAGCCAGTGCGTAAACGAGTGAGCAAGCCCCCGAAAAAAATGAGCGAGCGATTGAGTGTCTGAGTGAGTAATAAACGAATGAACGAGTGAGCAAGTGAGCAAACGAACGAGTGAGCGGGCGAGCGACATGACGAGCGAGCTGGCAAGTGAATACCAGTGCGCGGCTGTGCGAGTCAGCAATCCCCCAAAACAGTGAGCGAGCAAGCGAGCGAGTGGGCAAATTCAACGAATGAACGCATGAGCGAATAAACGAGTGAGCGGGGACCAGCGATTGAGCGAGCGACACAGCGGACGATAGGGCGATCGAGAAGGTGGATAGGGCGGAGCGGGCAGAGCGGGCGGAGCGGGCGAGTTCACCTGGCGCAGAGTGCGCGCGACCAGGCTCTCGAGGACGGGCCCCCGGTCGTCGTGGAGGAGGTGGACTTCGTCGAGGATGAGCAGGCGCACGAGCTGGCTCAGGGCCACGTCGCCCACGCTCTTGCGCGTCACCACGTCCCACTTCTCCGGAGTCGTCACCAGCATCTGTCGCCGGCCGAGAGACGCAGTGCGCAGGGGAGGGGTTGGAGAGAGGTGAGCGGGGAAAGGAGAGGCACACGGGGAATTCCAAATGTGTGGTCGTATTTTTATAAATGTCCACGCAAGGTGCGACTGTGGCAGCTGCAGCAAAGAAGCCGTGGAATTTATGCGATTTGTTTACACGGATGGGTTGTGCTGTGGGGCTACGTCCCCCCCACTCCTCATTGTGTCAATGCAGAATTTCCACAGATGGAGCTGAAACACATCCCTTGGATGTTACTCAACCGGCAACGCCGACGACACGCAAGCTAACAAACCTGAGTGCGTAAGATCTCCCCCTTGGTGAGCTGCATGTCTCCCGTGAGCTCTCGCACCGCGATGCCAAGCGGCTGGAGGCGCTTGCCGAAGTTGCTCGTCATCTCGGCCGCGAGAGCCTTCATGGGGGCCACGTACACGATCTGTGGACAGCACACACGAGCAAGCGCGCGTACATAAGTATGTACGTAGGAACAGCACAACAGGGGAATGCATATGCACAAACACGCGCACGCACAACCGCATACTCGCATGGCATAGCATGCAAGTGCACGCAACAAAGACGACGCGCAGGTCGTCAGGTTCATAGCGAGTGTGCTAACTACGATACCACTGCTCTCCTATCTTACAAAGATCCCCCATAATGAGGCAAGTGCTGTTAGCGAGCACCTATGAAGACCGGTACACAGCACATGAGGGGGTGGGTGGCCAGCACTACCCCAGGTCGCCTTTGTCTCGTCAGTGGCGATGTTTACACACAACACCAGGTACTCATTTGAGGCCGAGTCAACCTACTACCGCATGTACATAGCTACACCTGAAGACACACGCGCAAACTTTTTGTTGCTATTGGCTAGTTCTACCAAAACTAACTCTCTGAAGTTGCATTTCCCGTACCTGCTGTTGGGCCAGAGAGGCATGCCATACGTTTATCTAAATCACTGGTTCTTAACCTGGGGTCCAAGCACCCCCTGGGGGTGCGAGATGCCCGTACGGACACGTAAGTACAAGTACTTTCTTTTTCGATTTAAAGCTTTTGTGACTGCAGGGATTCATCTTCTTGGTTCTTTCGGTAAAGTCACGTAGAAGGGAAATAATAAAATAATAAAAATAAACATAAGACGCTGTCTTTCCGACAGACCTGTTCTTCACCTGAGGACGGCTGCTTGCGTTGTGGCCGAAACGTCGTGAGAATTATTTTATTATGTTTTATTTTTATTATTTTATTATTTCCCTTCTACGTGACTTTACCGAAAGAACCAAGAAGATACAACTACTTTGTTTCATCAAACCCTAAGTATTTATTATTATACATTTTTTTTTTACCGACTGAGAACCAAATGGGTGCAAGGCTGCAGTAAAGGTTAAGAACCACTGATCTAAAGGTACGACCGCCAGCTTTGCCGGCAGAGAAATAAAATAATATATATGCATACACGTGGGGGTGACACTAATATAGCAACCCACAGTGAGAGGTAATGCATATTTGATGCATCCCCTCCAAAGCGACGTCACTTTGCGTGCACACTGTGCTTAACGTCGTGGTGGCAGGGCAAATCAAACCAGATGTGGGCAAAAAACGCGGCAAAGCTGTATGGCTGCCAAGGAAAAAATAAAGAGCGACCCGACAGAAATAATTTATAGCACGCGAAAGAGAGATTTCACGTTGCGTTAAATTATACGGATGTGTTGTTTCGTGCGTGCAGTTTTTTTTTATGCCAAGTAAGCTGGATCGTACAATTCCATGTTCATTGCACCAGCCGTGCGCTCCGCATCAAATATTCCACAGGTCACATCCAATGGTGGGAATTTGCAAAACGTGCGGTGTTTTAACATATCACAAAACGTACAAGCGGGCTTCAAAGAGGGCTCATGTGGCCTCACATTGCAGACACGTAATGAAAAGTGAGCGTGCTTTCTCAACGAATAAAAGATGTAACTGTCTGGATTTCAATAGAGTCTACCTGATGATTCCTGCATCGCATGTAGCTGCGATTGAAACCAAATGTTTGTTTTTAAAAGCAAATATTTTAATGATAACTCTGGCCAACAGCCACTCCTATCCTAATCACTACTCCTGCCAGCACTTGTCAATGTCACGTCCACCACGGTTGACATTACCACCGTGGTGATCACGAAAACCAACACAAGTCATTGACGTGAGAAGCAAGATCACCGTAATCATGCTCATGATCATGACCATCATCAGTAAAGTCATCGCCATCACCAGCAACGCATCAGCAATGGCATCGGCAGAGTCATTATCATCTTAATCTCCATCATCACCATCATAGGCTTCGTCACCTCTGCCATCATGATCAGCACGATCATAATCACTATCACCACCTTCCTCTTCACCACCAATCCCGATTAGCAACGTGGGCTACGTATGGTGCGAAAGAAGTTCAACATGCGTAAATTCACAACCACGACCGCCACAACAAATGAACAGCACCGACAGAAACATTATACGCACCAATGATCACCTGCGACTACCACCTCCATTATCAACATTACCATCATCACTAACCACCACCATCCATAACAAATGCCGCCATTTGACATGAATTGAGAGCGACGTCAAACCCAGCCCACCCCTTTGCGCCAGGCTAGATGCACTTTTGAGCCCCGCCATCGAAATCCGCACCACGCCCAGCGGCGCCATCGCCGCAGCCAGGGGTCTCACCCACCTTGAAGTCTCCGCTGTTGAGGAGCCCACCAGGTCCCACGTGTTGCCGGACTTCTCTCAGCACAGTCAGCATGGCCACGTTGGTCTTGCCAGCGCCCGTGGGGGCGCAAATAAGCAAGTTCTCGTTGGTGTGGTACGCTGTCTCGAACACCAGCGACTGCACACGGTTCAGCTTCTGAGTGCCGCTGAAGGCCAGCTGTCCGATCTGCGAGGTGGAGACGTGAGCGAGAGAGAGGGAGCGAGTGAACGAGTGGATTATTCGCGAAAACCTAAAAACATGTTCGTCAACAGCGCTGCCCTGAAAGTAAACAAAAAATATACGAGGAGACGTTTCGTCGTGATCTGCTTAGCTATCAACAGCTGATGCTGTAAGGAGAGGGGTGATCGCCTGTAAGATCGGCAGTTTACCAGCACCGATTCAAGCGAGCCGGACTCTGCTGACGAAGACACTTTGCGCCAAAAGCGGTTGTGAGTTTTCTCGTCTTGAATAAACGGTGCCGAAATTATACTATCCTGATGGGTTGTGTAAGAAATAATTACCGATGAGATCAGGTGCATTCTGGGTGATAAGGTCAAAAGCATTGCTTAGACAGCCGAGGATACAAAGACTGGATGTGGTTCTATGAATGTAGTTGCAAGTGTTTTTTTATTGGGGCTGCTGTCGCAAAGTCACGATTGCCACTCCGGCCTTCCAGAGATCGCCGTTTTCATCAGTGGGCAGGTTAAAAAAAAATTCTCCCCAACCTCTGTTCACCAAGTAGGAGTCAAGAGTCGTGGGTCTTCCCACCTCTTCCAAGATGTCCGGCCAGGGTGGTAGAGTAGGCCAAATGCCCTCAAACAGGACTTCTACGAGCTCCGTCTCACGGAGGCCCTTCTTCCAGCGGTGCCGTGAGCAGAAAATTACACGGCTGAACCTTTAGCTATTGAAAGGCATGACCCGACGGCAATACGTGCATTGTGTGTGAGTGCGCGTGTGTGTTTGTGATCACAAAGTACCCCACCTCATCGAGGTCGCGGACGAAAACCGGCTTCTCTGCGATTCCGATGGGCAGTGGTGGAGTGGGTGGGATGCTCATCTCTTCGTACATCTTGTTGTTCTGCACCGAGAAGCCTTCTGGCAGAAGCATCTGTGTCAACGTGCACAGAGGAAAGGGACCCGGGCAGGCCAGCGTGACGAATAAGCTTCAACGCACGTTATTTCTGAATCTCCATTGGTGGAAATTCCACATTCATATGACGGGGAGGGGAGGGGGGACTATCCCAACAGCACCACATTTCAGTGTTAATTGTAGTGGTACTAATGAATTCACAGTTACACTGGAACCCCTCATACGTAGAGTAGACCAATTACAAAGTCATACGTAATGCACATGTACAGCCATTTTGTCTATCTACTGTTGGATGAGTCGTCTTGTGCTGCGCGGGGGCTGCTGCCACTGGGGGTCCCCTTGGAATGTTCTGAGATGTGATGCGTGGTGCTTTCAGTTGCCGAGTCGTTCAAGTTCCGTATAAATGCTGAGATTATCATTATTATAATTTGTATTATGGTCATCCGACACTGCGCGGTGCACGCTGGTTATTTGACGACGCTTTAAGACTGCGATCTCCACGGACACTCAAAATGCGCGTCTCCCCATACCTTGGAGCCTCCGACAAAGGCCGACGTCTTGCGCGCGTCCGCGTAGGCGTCGTACACGTTGGGGAATCTCTCTGGCTCGGTCCACTGAGCCCGGGGCAGGAGTATCGGTGCGATCTGAGCATTCAGAAGGGCCTCCTCCCTGCCACACGCATTGCACCCGTGCCAAGATTTAGTTTATTTTTTATCGTATATATTGAAAACTCATATCTTGAGAACTGTGTAGTGTTTAATTTGTTGTCCTAGCTTTTGCACCTCCGATTAGCACGGTTGGCTACGTTTGTGCGAAAGAAGTTCAACATACACACATAAAAGAGGCGATGTCCTGCTGCCACTGGAGCGCTATTCTAAATCATATCAGAAATGCGTATATCACAAAATCTTTAAAATAACATTTTAAAATCGATACATTTCCATGGCTGGCCATCGAACAAAGACGGTCACCGCATCACGCGCTTTGAGATGCGCTTCTGCGGCCGTCTGGAACGCTCTTCCTTCCGATATTAGGAAGCCACTGGAGCAATGCACTTTTAAATCTAGATTGAAAAGTAATTTTAGAACTGCTTTTGTATTTAATTTGTTGTCCTTCCCCGACACCTCTGCTTAGCAGAGTTGGCTGTGTACGGTGCGAAAGAAGTTAAACATACGTACTTATCCGCCCTGAACGATTGAAGGGCCACACTCAGTGCAGTGTTTGTATGTGTGTGGCGGTATAATCGTCAGTTTTCTACAAATCGCCAAAAAAACCAACCTTTTCACGTGCACTTCATGGATGTTATTCTTAATCTCATGCACATTCACCGAGTGGACCCCAATTACAGTGAATAATTTTCGCATGTTCAAAGCGGTTTAGTAACCAATTTGTGTATGGCACTTTGATGAAGATGATGTTGACAATGGTGAAGTTGAAAATTTGCGATCACGCTCACGATGGCAATGATGATGATAACATCATTGAAGATGGTGACAATTATTTTTACAATTACGATGCTGAAAATGACAACCGTGATGACGACAATTCGTGATAATAAAACAATCACGACGATGATTACAATGCGGAAAATTACGGGTGCTGGAAGTGACGATCACGTGAAAATGATGGGACAGCCCAAGGCGACCCACGACCACTGGGCACGTGATCTTGTTATATCTGTGAAAGAGGTGCTTTATAACACTCGTTGGATTCCTGCAGTATAAATAAATATTCTTCTAAATCCCAGAGCTCTGTAACCATTGGGTCTTCTTGCACCTCTGGAGCCGCAGGGCCAGGGGATCGAATCCGTTGACACCGGTGGCGGCGGTGGCGGCGGTGTCGTCGTCGCCGTTGCGACGATCGCGCTTGAGGCTGCGCTTCTCCTCGCGGCGTGCCGCTTTCCCCAACAGCCGCTCCGTCTCCGACTGGACGGTCACCTGGCGGGCGACGCTGGGGCCGACGGGGGCCCCCGTTCCCCCTGCCGGACCTGAGCGCACAAAGACACGGGTGGGGCGTGGCGGCCTCTAAGTCTAGATCGAAAACGAATTTCTTTAGAAATGCTTTTTGTGTTTGGTTCGTTGTCCTTCCCCCGCACTCCCGATTAGCGCGGTCGGCTATGTACCGCGCGAAAGAAGTTCAACATACGCACATACATAGTCGCTCAAGTCGCCTACGAGTTCAGCGCAAGAAAGAATGAAACTCGATGCCATAATCATCAGCTGTGGCCAATCTGCTACAATCCCCAAGCCGATTGTGCCAAGAGTGTCACCGCAAGAGAAGAACCAACCATTTGGATCTCTCGCACAGCAGTGCAACTCCTGCGTGTTCGAAAACGGCCCACAGATGCAGAAATGACATGAAGGACCTCTGCTGAACACAATAAGCGACAAAACTTTCTTATCTGCTTTGCCACTGGCAGTAATGTTCACCGCAGGAGAGCCAACCCGATATAGATATATATTGTTAATTATCAGATCTCCAAACACAAATTTAAACGAAGAACCATATTTTGCATGCACTCATTCGTAACCATTCTGACGCTGTCAGCTCTTTGCAGTCGACAGCCCTGGTTTAATTACGGGCTCCTGCCCGGATTTGAATGCACGGATCTCAGCGGTGCAGGTTTAACATTCTGACACCCACAGATTCACTCAGAACACCAGTCATCTATGATCTCAATCGCTGTGGGGGCGAGTGAATGGAGGTTCTCTCACCACGATTAACCGGAGGACCCTCATCCACGGGCTCCATGGCACAGTCCACAATCTTCTTCCTCTGCTGCAGTAGCTTTGTGATGAAGTCAAACCCGCCCACTCCCAGCAGCTCGAACAGCTGGGAAGACACAGTGCGGTGGAACACACATCAAAATGTCAATCATCAAACACGGAATATGCAGCCGCGTGGCTTGCTGGAGTTTAGTCGCTTGCTGTAACGTAACCCTTTCCTGTTCAGATACGTCTGTAAATTTCAGGGTGGGTCCAGTTCACCACTGAATCTCGAAATTGTATTTAGAGAGGCATAGCGCCGTTGTTTTTAAAAACACCAATAAAGTTATTTAGATTCCGATAAAGTATGACATGAGAACGAGATCGGAAGAAAAACTAAACAAACTAAAATATGGAATCAAAAGAAAAACTGATGGCGTGCACGTACACATACGTCATCGGAATGGGAAAGGGCTAATCGCAAATGGTTTTTATTGTCGTCACATTTTTGTTGTCTTTGTTTACGATTGCATTTGAAACGTCCCCATCGGCGTCGTGTCCTGAGATGAAGACACGTCCATTGAGAAGTCCCGAATACACCAGTGCATCATCCTGTATTAGAAAACTGCCTCTGGATGCTGATATAATATTTCGAAAATCCCTTCGAATACCGTGAATGCACAAGAGGGACCCTGCACTTCCGCACGTGCTCTGCTCGAAGGATGATCATCGCATGGAAAATTACCAAGAGGAAGCCCTGAGATGACATGCTCATGCCACTACCGATGGAAGGACTTTCCAGGTAGGAGAGTTTTAGAGTGTCCCTCCAGAAGGCACTCCAGCCTACCCTTCTACACTGACTAGACACACATAAAGAGATGGGAGTAACCACACTCTACCCCACAAAACGGGAACTTCTGTAAAGATGGAAGATTGCATATGCATGCATATTTAATGTGTGCAAGGACATTAATGACTTGGTTAAAATAAACTTCAGAAAAAATCCAAAAGGATAACGTTGTAAATGTATAAACACACAAGGCAGAAATATTAAAATTTTCCACAAAGACCTGACATGTTAGATGAAAAATAATTAGTTTACATCTAACAAAAATGCCTTTTAAAAAGATAACACGGAACTCCTGCTGTCGGTTCCCACATCAGGGCACTGACCTGGAAGATGATGCAACTGACCCAATTCAATAATAAGAGGCCCTTCGAAAGTGGTGGTTTCTCTCACCCAACAGGACACACTTAACGCTCTGTAAGTCTCTAACCCAAGTTTTTTAATTCAGCAGACTTGCACAATGCTTGCTCTAACTTTCCTCCCGAAAGTATCCGAACAGAACATAAATATTGCTCCTAAGAGAGTGCAGTTCCACAATGAATGCGCTACTCAAGGGGAAGGAAAGGGTAATGGGGTAGAGAAGCTTCAAGGCGATGAGCTCAACGACCGGAAAAACATATGGAGCCCCCCGGCGGAGGAAAGTTTGCAAAGTTACTGGTAATTGTACCTTTTTAAAAAAAGAATGCGCGCAGCGTCGTTAAAGGCAGCTGGCTTTCCCGCTGATTAAAACCATAATCACCGTTTCACTGGGGTTCGTGGAGTTAAAAGCCGTTTGCCGCACTCTAAATGAGCCTTGGGACGGCGCGCCGTGCCACCGCGGAGCCGCTCGGGAGTGGGAGGTTTACTTTCTCCGGGCTAATGGTGTTGCGCAATCGTTAGTGCAGCCGTTCGTGCAGAGCGAGCTCAAGTGGTGGCACGTTTCAATCAATCAATGATTCAAAGTTAAACATCTAATTTGCAGCACTTTCTGCATTCCTATTTTTGGGGAAAAAACCACCGCCCCCACCGATTCTATTCAAATTGTGCCTGCCAGCGTCGGGTTAAAAAACAATGATCCAATACCGATCTCTCATAAGGCAGTATAATCCCTTCATGCTACAGAACACCTCTGTGAGAAGCGGATATCACAGAACAACCACCGACATTCTTTCAAAGGACCTCTCTTACACACAGCAGGAGGCAGCAGCACTTTCTCACTTGCACCAACACCAACGTTTGTTGTACGACATCCTGGAATTTAATGAGAATGGGTTCTTTTGGTGGATTCATTGATGACCGGTCGGAGACAATCAACTAAAATCCAATTAAAATCTGAGCGTAACGTGGCTGATTCTGACAATGAACTTGATCCTAACAGCCTCGAGGTTCTAAATGACCCTGCAAACAATGGATGCATTTGCAATTTTGGGATTAATTAAAAAAAATCAGGCCGAGGCACATTTTCCAACGATCAAAATTATTAAATGATTTACTTTATTTTGAAATGGCATCCCGCGGCATTAGGTCACGTCCCGACACATTTTAAATTAGTACATCATGTAAATGACCCCAAACCGCAGAGATGATCTGAAAATTGTTCTTGAAAAATCTAGAATTTTTGTTGTTGTCAGACCTCCAAAGTTCCCTTGATCAGTGTTGAATCCCTATCCCCTACCTCCCCGTCTTTCGGGGGGGGGTGGGGGCATACCTCGTTCTGAAGCGCGTTGTCGCTCTTGTCCGAAATGAGCGCCTCGAAGAGGCTCGAGCAGAGCTCGGCGGACGGCAAGCTCGAGCCGCCAGCGGCCACGAACTCCTCCACCTGGCTGCGCAGCCACCCGCCGTCCACGCAGCTGGCCTGGCCCGCCGCCCCCTCCTCCCGGCCGCCCGCTGCCTTCACGAAGCGCGAGTAGTCGAGGCTCAGCTGGTTTGGCGGATCGAGGTGCCTCCGGGCGATGAGTTTGTCGGCGGGCTCCAGGTCGAAGCCGTCGGAGGAGAAGGGGATGTTCTGCCCAAACGGAGCGCAGGTGTTGCCATCGTCGTCCTGATAAGAAAAAAAAGAAAAACGGGAAAGAAAAAAAGAAAAACGGGAAAGAAAAAAAACCGGCGATTTAATCGCGCTTTTCCGGGCCGGGCTGCGCGAAGAGCATTTCTACACATGAGCTGAATTAGACCAGTTGAGTTGGTTCAACTCCGCAAGATGATCATACATTCAACTCCGGAAGATTCCCGCAGCGGCGCGTGGCGAAAGTTTTTGAACGCGCAGCGCAAACAGAAACAAACCACACTTGAGCGGCAGCGATGCTCAATCACGTGCGTGTCCAAGCGGGTGCCGATGGTGGATAAGTAGATGAAGAGATAAGTGTGGAAACAATTACATTCAATAACCGATAACAGGTCGAATTTCCACCGGGTGCCAACAGTGATAACGGGAGACGGTGAAGAAAATCGTAGATACAAACTCCAAGATGCATTGTTGTGGTGCAGTATAGGTAGCACCGTTAGCCACCAGCATTTGTTTAAGCAAGCAAACTAAAGCAAAAAAAACTGCATATTTGTCATGCTCTTGTCAGCTCGATTCGTAAGTGAAAGCGAAGAGCATCTTTTGTTCAAATGCAACTGCTCCACAAATTTGTAAACGTTCCCATGATTCACAGTTTTCACCCAATTGCAGATTCATTCGTTCATAAGTGTGCAGATCGCCCCTGAGCCCGGCTCGGGCGCCGGGGGCTAAGACAACAACTTGGACAGGGGTTGGCGGCATCGTTGTATTCCTCGCACCAGGACCCATGCCAACCAATGGAGAAGAGCATGGAAATGTTTAATCCAGGGCCGATGCCAACCAAGCAGGCCAACTCAAATGCTTATTAAACGATGAAACAATTTTTTATTTTGTCAGGTAAGGCCCACTGAGCTACGTAGCTCATTTTCAGAAGCGAGTTGGCCACAAATGATCGCCCCACGAAGTGGCTTTTATCACGTGGAAAATGTTTATGAATGTGGAGCAAAAAAACGGAGGATCTGGAGAAAAATCCACGGGGGGAACATGCCAACTCCAAATATACAGGCGTCAGGGTCGGGATTGAACTCGCGACATCTCGTATACTCGGCAAGGTATTTAACATGAGGTTTTCGGGTTAGATCGCGTAAAATAAAAATGTGTCGTTAAATCTGCCACCACCCGACACAGCCAATTAGTCAGGTTTGTCAAGTAAACAAAACATGCCAATTCGTTACTATTGTTTGGTTCTTTTGATAAAGTCACATAGATAGAAAATATAATAATACAAATTTAAAAAATTTAGACGAAAATAGATTTTTTCTATTTACGTGACTTTACCAAAAGAAACAAAGAATATGCATTTCTGCAGTCACGAAAGCTTCAAATCTAGAATACATTGTTACCTGCTCCTCCTTGCTGGGCAAGGAGAGCTCGGAGAGGCGCGAGGGCTCGGGCAGCCGGGACACGATCCGAGCGACGACGTCGCTGGCGTCGCGAGCGGCGCCGGGGGGCACGGGACCCAGCGCGCCGCGCAGACGGCTCGCTCGCTCCTGCCAGGCTGCGCTCGCTCCTCCCCGCTCCTCCTCCTCCTCCTCGCCTGGAGCAAAAGTCTCGAAGAGGAATGCGGCGGCGCACTCCACCGACTCAGTGTCCTCCTCGCTGCCAACTTCGGTGTGGGGCGGGCGGGGGGGAATAAATAAATGAGCAAACAAAATCGCACGTTGGCTTGACGTACTGGGGACACTTCGAAAGTGTTTAGTAGAATTCCTTTGAGTTCAGACCATAGGGTGCTGCCTGATATCATTGCGTTTAAATGCACTATCGGGTGTGATCCCCTCCTTTGGTTGCCAGTCCATCATTATTCTCATCGACCAGCCATCATCTTTTCTAGAATCATCTTTATACTGGAGGAATCCGATGAGCTATAAAGCTCTTGTTCACAGATGTCCAGGAGCGGCGGGCGAGAACAATACTAAAACAATGATAGGAGTGCAGAGTATAGAAAAGGTAAACAAATCACTTCAGATTACCTTGCAGACTGACGGCACCATGGCCTAATGGTGCTTTGTCAGGGCAAATAAAAGAAACCTTCACAAACACACCGGTCCGCTCACAGTGGAAGGGTAACGACGCTCGGCGAAGTCTCACCGATCCGCTTGGCCACCTGCAGCAGCGCTCGCAGGTCGTCGCTCAGCTGGCTGCGCTGGCTCTTGACGATGCTGCACGACAGGAAGTCGACCACCTTCTTCCAGCTCAGCCCCACGTTGCCCGACGTCTGTTTGACCAGCTGCCTCTTGGACTGAGAGAGAGTGGCTAATTAATGGAGGAAAACTAATTCTGTTCTGAATTACAAAAAATAAGGGACTGTGCTAGGCAAGCACAAGTATCAACAAACTCACAGCATTCATACTCTTAGGTTTTTTCGGTAAAGTCACGTAGATAAAAATAAATAATAAAAGTGAAAATTATATGAAGATGAATTACTTATATTATTTTTATAATTATTATTTCTATTATTTTTACTTTCATTATTTATTTTTACCTACGTGACTTTAACCGAAAAAACCTAAGAGTATGAATCCTTGCAGTCACGAAAGCTTCAAATCTAGAATCACAACATTCATCATTAAAACTGGATTATTGCAGAAAAAAATATATATTGACACTTTTAGCAATGGTCCAACAGTTTGTTATGACATCAGGCTACAAGCAGACATTGTTAATGTTGGCTGTGGTGAGTCTTTCCAAATGACATTGGTTTCAAACAGAACCTGTTCTGAACCAAATGTCTTTGACGGCAACCTTTTATTTAGCCATTTCCGAACAAACGATTTTACTGTCATGGGTGTGTTGCACGTTTGCTCATATTACTTGGGAAAACAATCGTCAATATTTGAGCACACTTCATCCCACACTGGTCAATGTGGAAAATCTATAATGGAAGTCGTTCCTCCAAACTCAAAACGAGTCTACGCTTGAGGAATATGTCTCAGCGGCACAGGAGTGAAAAACGATGGCATTCTACCATTGCCTCTTCGTCATTATCTGCTTTAGGGAAGATACGTTTGTGTTTAAACAACTGCGTGTTTATAAAACGTGGATGAATGTTGAATGTTGTTAGCGTGCATGCTGCAAAGCGTTCTACAATCCATGCACGTGAGACTACTTTTGTCTTCCTTGTTGGGGTTGCGCCTTCCTGTAAGTCACATCGTTAAGTCACGCAGAAATAAACCGAGGAGCATAAACCATCACGTGAACTCCGCTCGTCCTCACAGCGGCTTGTGGCTTGCCGTCTAACAAAGACGGTCACTGCATCGCGCGCTTTCAGATGCGCTTCTGCGGCCGTCTGGAACGCCCTTCCTTCCGATAATAGGAAGCCACTGCAGCTATGCAGTTTTAAATAATATATATTGAAAACTCATATCTTTAAAACTGCTTTATGTGTTTAGCTTGTTGTCCTTCCCCTGCACCTCCGATCAGCATGGTTGGCTACTTATGGTGTGAAAGAAGTTCAACATATGAAGAACATAATTTTGAACCACGCGATGGGCCTGCTATTGCGGCAACGTGATGTACGATTGACGCAGTGACGCAACATTCTCCGCTATCAAGGTGGTGCTCACCTGTAGGTCAAGGTCCGAGTCCGTGTCTGGCTCAAAGCTGCTATTGCTGACATTGGTGAACGACCGCAGGGCATTCGTGAGCCTGGGCAGTTCCATTGCCATCAACATCGCTCCTCTCTCCCTGCAACAGAATAATAATAATTCAGTACCAAGAATAATGAGAGCACAAAATGTAAAATATCCTTGTGGTTTAACACGTGACTTGGTGATGCTGTGCTGACTGTAGCATACAATAAACATACACAAATAACAGTGTGGCCTTAAAAATTTCAAACATATAGTAGGCAACATTGCGGCCAATGGCCTTTCTTTACGGCACACAAATATTTGTTGCATTGTTGAAATATCGCCCGCCCCCCACCCCCGAGTAATTTTTTTGTAATGTGGCCAGCACCATCACAGGATAGGGATGGTGAGGCTAGCAATACCAACACAAGCACGCACAAAGCGCACAGTCACACAACGACACGGTATCTAAAAAAAAGTGCTTCGCGCATGTAACCACCAGTAATCACTAAGACGAAACAAAGCTAGAGTATAATGATGTTGTGCAAATCCCCGCTTATTTTCTTCTACTGTGGAATACCTCGAGGGAATTACGCACACTGGCTTGTCAATTCACTGCTGGATGAGTTTCCCCCATGCCAGTGCATGACTGACTGTATCTCAAAGTACTTTGGTGCAACATTACAGCATTAACTAAATTACTCTACAATGACATTCACCTCTCTGCATACTTCTCGGGTTTCAAAGCTATGCCTCTACTCTTAGGCGTGTAGATATCATATGCAATCTCGTGTATGACTTGTTTATACGAGTCCTTGCACATCAAGAAGAATACACGTACAATTAATTATGAAGAGCGTTAGGAGGCATTTGCCTCCATCGAGGGGCCATGAGAGAATGGCAGAAATCCAATATTCTGATGGCAATAAGTTTCATTTAAAGAGCGGCGACTGGACTGTATATACTTACAGGGGAGTGGTGTCATTGTGGATTGTGTACATTGACGTCACGTTCAATCCCGGGGCCACGAGGCACATTGTCATCAGCAGAAACACAAATGAAACCATTGCGGTAACCTCCTGGGTGAACTCAAGCTTATATATTTAAAAACATTCAATCAAATGAAGAACACCAGTTCAGGGGAAACAAGGGTGGCTGGGGCTGCGAGGTTCTGGCCACACCATTCGCCTTAATAATTGCGACAAACAGCAACCCGGGCAAAGCAATGTATAGATGCAATAATATAAGGCACTCAATATTGCTTCGCATACATACAGCCGATGACCAAGTCGCCGGGAATGTGCCAGATTCTCGCCAGATCACAGAAGCTATGCCTGGAGGCCTTCATCCAGCAGTAGATCGTCCATGACTGATGATGATATATCATTGGACCTCCTCTGCCAGTACCAAAATACGAGAAGTGTGTTTGCATTCTGACCACAATCACTGTGGTTAATGCAGACATGATTCCTTGTAAAAGGTTTCAGTTTGGTGTTTTAACATCTTAACACCTGTTTAGTTGCCAGATAAAAGGGGAAAACCTCTTCTCTGATGATACAGTGAGGATGATGATGATACAGTGAGGATGATGATACAGTGAGGATGATGATGATGATACAGTGAGGATGATGATGATACAGTGAAGATGATGATACAGTGAGGATGATACAGTGATGATAATGATAGTGAGGATGATGATAGTGAGGATGATTATAGTGAGGATGATGATGATAATACAGAGGATGATGATACAGTGAGGATGATGATGATACAGTGAGGATGATGATACAGTGAGGATGATGATGATACAGTGAGGATGATGATACAGTGAGGATGATGATGATACAGTGTGGGTGATGATGATGCAGTGAGGATGATGATACAGTGAGGGTGATGATACAGTGAGGATGATGATGATACAGCGAGGATGATGATGATACAGTGAGGGTGATGATGATACAGTGAGGATGGTCCGAGTCTGCCGGTGGTGGCGCTGTGCCAGTGGTGGAAATTCCACATTCCTATGGTCGGGGCCCAATAATTGCACGTCAACCACCGTTTCACTTCCCACAACGTGATACTGTGGTGAAGTATGGTCAAACAACCACTGAACCAGCGTGACGTAGCGTACGGCCAAGTAACCACTGAACCAAAGAGCATGAGCGTAGGGAAGCGTGGTCAAACAAGCGTGGTAAAGTATGGCTAAGCAGTGAACGAGCGTGGGGAAGTATGACCAAGGCCTCAATTGCGGCCTACCGGCTACTTGAAACAGCACCAAACGCGGCCAAACAGCTGCGAATGACACCGCGGCGAGGCTCATTGTAGACGTGACTCGAGTGTAAGTACAACTCACCGACAGAGACTTTAAACCCTCTCGTTGTTGTTGTTTTATCGCGAACCCGTCAACAGTGACAGCGGCAGCAGCAGTAGCAGCAGCTTCGAGTGAATGCGCTCTGTTCCCGTACAGTAACGCCGCACAATCACCACATGGTTTGGTTGTTTTTCGTGCGAGAACTGTTGCGTTTTATTTCTGCCTCGCACTTAAATTAACGGCGAGAAAACGACGCGCACTGACGGGCGGGCGAGTTTGGCGGTTATCTTCTGACTGTCGACGTCTCTTCAACGCCTCCGTTTGTCATTAATTGCAGTCGTGACGCCTCTAGTGCGAAGGCCTCGGAAAAAAAATCGGCAAACAGGGGGGCGGGGCGAGGGGCGGGGCGAGGGGTGGGGGGGGCCTGACGTCACGCGCGATTCTTGGGATTCTGTTTTTGTCTCCCCCCACCAAACACCCCCCACCCAAACACCCCCCCACCCAATAGCCCCCCACCCAAACACCCCCCACCCACCCAAACACCCCCACCCACCCAAACACCCCCCACCCATTAACCCCCCCACCCAATAACCCCCCCACCCACCCAAACACCCCCACCCACCCAAACACCCCCAACCCATTAACCCCCCCACCCAATAACCCCCCCACCCAATAACCCCCCCCACCCAATAACCCCCCCACCAAAACACCTCCCCACCCAACCCCCCCCCCCCACACCCAATAACCCCCCCACCAAAACACCCCCCACCCAATAACCCCCCACCCAATAACCCCCCACCCAATAACTCCCCCACCCAATAACCCCCCCACCCACCCACCCAAACACCCCCCACCCAATAACCCCCCCACCCAATAACCCCCCCACCAAAACACCCCCCACCCAAATAACCCCCCCCCCACACCCAATAACCCCCCCACCAAAACACCCCCCACCCAATAACCTCCCCACCCAATAACCCCCCCCACCCAATAACCCCCCCACCAAAACACCCTCCCACGTTTGAGAGACAAATCTCCACTTGTTTGTTTATATTCACCACAACGTCTTCGATGATTGTTGAAATTTTTGTTTTCTTTTGTCAGATCATATTTTCATGGAATTGGGATCGATATTGCAGAGAACGACGAGCAAATGGCAACAAACATACTACAAAATGCAAATTGTATTTTATTTTACCAGGAGTGATGTTGTGGCGTGATGGTGCAATGAGATGGTGTGCAGTGATGGTTGTGACTCGAAATCAGGGGTTGGGAACGTCCGGCCCGCGTGCCGTATAAGGCCCGTGGATTCATTTGGGTCTGACCCTGCCAAGGCAACCGGAGGCGGGACTCGAAATTCAATAAATCTAGGAGAAAACCTGGAAAAGCAGTTGCGAGTAGCAACATCATCAATACCAGCTAACATCACACACGCCTCACCAAAGAGAAGCAGCTCCAGCCACATCGCATTAGGGATGAGTTAATTAAATGTTTGACCAAATATAACAGGCGAATTTTTTAGTTGATAATTTTGTATGGCCCGCGAATGATGTTATAAATATCCAAATGGCCCTTTGCAGTAAAAGGTTCCCCACCCCTGGACTAGATGGTGTGACGAGATGGTATAATGGGCCTTGGAACCATTTCAGGAGAGTCATTCAAGCAACAGGTTTCAGGTAAAGTCTTAGACTCATCGTTGCTCAGCAAGCACTGAGTGGCCACAGTTGCCCTTGGTGAATGTATTGTTAACCAGGTAAGGTCCTTTGAACCATATACTGTAGCTATTTTTCAGAAGGGACCTGGCAACAAATGGTACCTCAACGAAGTGTCTTAAATATGATTTCCCTTCTACGTGACTTTACCGAAAGAACCAAGAATAGGAATCCTTGCAGTCACAAAAGCTTTAAATAGAAGTGGCTTATGTGTAAATGTATAGCAGCCAAATACTCTTAAATGGATGTTTATAATGCGAAGGGGAAAACTGGAGGACCCGGAGAAATATCTATGCGACCACGTGGAATAAGACACCACAAACTCCAAATATGCAGCAGGCGTCAGGGTCGAGATCAAACTTATGACCTCCTGTAGTCTAGGCGAGGTAGTTAACATCTCCTAGCCACCATGGCAAAGACAGGCCGGGATCAAATGATGAAATAGAGAGAGAGAGTGAGCGCAGACAGCAGTGCTTTTTGAAAGCTGAAATTCATTCATCTTGATTTGAAGCTTTCGTGACTGCAGGAATCCATGCTCTTTGCTTCTTTCGGTAAAGTCACATAGGTATAAAATAAAATAAATCACGACGTTTCGGGCACAACACAAGCGTCCGTCATCAGGTGGGGAAGCCCAAAACGTCGTTATTTATTTTATTTTATACCTACGTGACTTTTCCGAAAGAACCAAAGAGTACGATTTTGATGCTTCGTCTCAAATAGATTTTCACGCGGTTGGTGAAATCCCAGGTCAGCGCCCACCAGATGGCAGCATCGGAACGTCGAATTAAACAGAAAGCGTGTGACGGTAAATCCTGACTTAAAGCTCTCTTGACTGCAGTAGCTCATATTCTTTGGGTCTTTCGGTAAAGCCACGTAGTTTTTGTTGTTGAAAAAAATGGTCGACGAAGAATACGGCATGATGAGTGAATGGTGCTCGGCTCAGCGAGCCGATCGATGCAGATGACAGTCATGGAGATCGTCCCTGGCTCAACGTGCACCGCGTGTCCATCAGTGGCAATTCTTCAATTCATCAATTGTTCGAGTCTCAACCGCACAGTCGCGACACGCCGCGCTGATTTCGCACCTCCGATTAGCACGGTCGGCGACGAGGGGTACGAAACAACTTCGACATGGCACGTGCACACTAGACTTTCTTCCGGCGCGTCGGTGCTCTTTATAAACAACCTGTACCATCATCGCAGTGCCTAATACACCTTGACACATGTGCAGGGATTGTTTTGTCAATCCACTGCTGGATGAGGGCCTCCCCACGCAGTTGCGGGTTGTGGAGGTTATTTAGCCATATTTCACCACGTTGTGCCAGTGCGAAATTAAGAGAAAATAATCCTTGGTCATGGGAGAGCATTTTTTTTTATTTTTTTATCAACCTCTTATTTACCAAAAAGTTGTCATTTAACTACTGTCTATGGGAAATAGGACCGCCTGTACCACGTGAATGCCCGCGCACAGGCGTGCGTGTATGGACGTCACTTTGACGCATTTGAGGGCCCAATGAGACAACGCGGAAAGTTCGACACATTCATCAATAACACTGCGGTCTTAAAATAGAAATAATAATATTATAGGCGACGTTTCAGGCAATGCCCCTTCTTCATAGCACATACAACGTAGAGCAGGGATGTGAGCATACATGTTTCGGGGCATGGAAATTAAGTGATAACAAACAACAATCACACAGACAAAAAAGAACTAAATTGACAAAATAAATGTGCGACACGCAACAACCGTGCAGCGTAGGTTAAAGCGACATTGATTGTCTTATTCAAATGTAACATTTTCATCTCCGCCAATTTAACCTTAATATTTCCATCACCAGATCATAACCGCACATCGATCCATTACGATGTTTTAATGGAACGCTCCGTTCGGCATAGGTTGATCGTCGTGATCATCATCATTATTGCTTCAGCTCATTAAGACTAATCAATGTACGTAAATTGGTCTCTCTGAGCAAAGTGGCTAATTAACGGCAAATTACACGTTACCTCCCAAAAGGGTTAACAATCTCTCAATGTTGTCAACCATCGCGCGGTGTCGTCACTGGTGACCTTGTGACGGCTCTTCTCGATTTGCGTTGTTTTTGTTTGTGTTCTAGATTTGAAGCTTTCGTGACTGCAATAATACAATTTAATAATAAAATAATATAAATAATAATAGAAATAAAATAATAAATCACGACGTTTCGGGCATGCCCCCTTCAGCATTTGTTTCTTGCTGTGGTTGTCCCACCTGATGACGGACGCTTGTGCTGCGCCCGAAACGTCGTGATTTATTATTTTATTCCTATTATTATTTCTATTATTTTATGATTCATTTTTATTATTTATTTTTGTTTTTGTTGTTTTTGTTGGTGGGGCGACGTCGGTGCCTCGTGTTGCTCGTGAGCTTGCAATCGTGGCCTGTTTATTGGCCGCGGGCGGAATTATGTTTCCCCTTCGCCTACCCCTTCCCCCGTAATGTTTCTTCCACGGGAGTACTTAATCGGGTTGCCCGTGGAAACGGCGTTGAATTTACGCTAAAGTTCATCTGTTGTGCCTTCTAAAATTTCTGATTTGCATATTTAAGTGCGCATTGTTGAGTAAGCTTGAGTGAATTCAGAAAATGTATGTTTTTACTTTGTACATTATTGCAAACTTTTCATGAATCATTCACAAAAATACTTGTTGTTTACTATTTTGTTACCAAACGAAAGCCCCAATGTCTCTGATATGGAGATGTGTTTGCTTTCTGAGCCATGAATTCGTGAAAATTAAATAGTTATCTTTGCATGTTGAGTGAATGTTACTCATGCTATCATACTGGTAGGGACCCACTGGTTCCACCAGCCCACAGGGGATTATTGTGTCCGTCCGACCGTCGTGCAGGGAGGGGCTGGGTGGGGAGGGAGGGGCTGAGTGGGGAGGGGAGGGTGGGGAGGGGCTGGGTGGGGAGGGTGGGGAGGGTGGGGAGGGAATGTGTTTTCGAGCACAAGTAAGCCCATTCAACCATTGTAACTGGACCGTTTAAACCATCTTGAACATGCATAAAATTATACAACCATCATGTTCTGATTTTAAGCTCCGACATAAACATTATAACATGTTTACCGGGGAGCTTTAGGTAACAACTGTTTTGACTTCAAAGACCCTACTTAAATGTAGACGTTGAACGAAACGAGCCATCATTATTTAAATTCAGGTTTATTTTGGTTAACAAGGGTGAGGAACTCAAGAGACCAGGGATGGTTCTCGTTTGCAAGGGTTACATGGGTCACCAAAAATGGCAAAAAGCAAAACAACTTAAGTGGGAACATGATTTGGTGATGCTCAGTAGCGTGACGAGCATGTGGGCCAGGGGCTCCCTTGATAACCACCGTGACATATGTTTTCAACAACAGTGCAAAAGGAACAAACTGTTATTTAAAACACAGTTTGAATTAACATTTTATGCAAATTATTTCATTTACGTTGCACGTTTAATGTTTGTTTAATTGGGAGCAGTGCCGTTCAGGCTTTTGCAAATTGCGAAAATCAAATATTCGGGTCCCCATCTGACCGATTGCCGCACCCCCTCAGCTGATCTAATGTAGTTACTACGTCGCTGGCGATGCTGCTGCTGGGTTGGCAGTGGTGCATAAGCAC